GAACAACCATGCAGTGTGCTGCCTGTCTCGCTGCATAATAATTGTAGGGCACAGGGAGTAACGTTGCAAAGCTTACTCCATCAGCTTCTGTTGCTATGGTGACAATGCATAAAAGGGGCAGTAGCAGCAACAGCAGGCAGTGTTGTCTAGTGGGCTCGGCAGATGACAAATGGTGTTTAGCACCCTCCAGCTGTAGATCCCTGCGCTGATCTTGAAGGGAAGGCCCCTGACCTCTTGGACACCTGTCTAGGACACAGGGATAAGAATAGCCACTTTGCAGAGGTGTTCGGGGGATTAGCTGGCATCTGTGAAAATCCTGCCAATGCTTGGCTGCCAAGGAAAGGGTTAAGCTGGGCCTACTGGTGTCTCCCTCTCTGCTCTATGGCTTTAAAAGCAGTTTGGTGTATGTAACCTTACAGGAGGAGAGCAGGAAACACCATTCTCCCCCCAACTGCTAGAAAGGTCAGAGTTCATGACTCACTCCTGCTACCTCCTCTGCAAGGCTCCAGACGTCTGTGTAGGAAGAGGGGTTTGTCACTGCCTAATCACGACTGAGCAAACGGATCCCCTTCAGAGGTGGAGATAAAAGCATCACCAGCAGGATCAAGCAGGAGGAGGAAGCAGAACAAGACTAAACGTTTTTCTAGCTTTTTAAATATACCGTAATACATTCTTATGACTTGTGTCCCAGATAGTTTTCTCACAGCTGCTTTGAAACTTGCAAACCGTGTCTCTGCATCTTGTTTCTCCATCATTCCAGCTGAGTTGTACCTAGAGATGATGGGCTGTGATGCTTTCTCTCACTTTATGTGCCTACTCCTCCATATCTAAAGGAATCACATCTATTTTTAAAATTATCATATTGATTGCTTAATTGATAATCTGTATAAATTTGTATGAGAAAAACCTATTTCTAAGGCAAACCTACTTCCTGTGGTGTAAGAGATGAATGTGTTTAAGAGATGCCATCAGTTTAAGAGACATTTCCCCTTTTCTCACGTACAAAACAGAGTGCTTCTGGTGTAAGATGGTGCTTGCCATCTGCAGTATTTATGCAGTAGTTGCATACCAAATAAAAGTACCCTATGGGGGGGGTGTTTAAAAAAATCTAGTTACTGATTAAGGCACCTTTTTAGTTCAAGATATTTTAAAACAGTATAACAAACTGAGTAAAGGTCCAAAACCTGCTACTGTAGTTAAAACAATTTGGCTAGCTGTTGATTTATTCCTTGGCCATTGTTGCAATGACACCCAACATTTTAAGCATACAGTGCTGTTTATTGTAACCCTCCCCTGCCAAAAACATGAGAGTATGAAAGACTACTTAACCTTGTTTTTAAAAAAGCCCATGCTCCAACCTGCCTTTTTAAAAATCTGAGTGATTTCTCAAATAGCACTGAAGGTTTGTAACCAGAGCTGAAATGTTTACAGCCATACTCTATTCATATTTACTCAAAAGGAAGTCCTACCATGTGAATTGCGAGCTTGGTTACTTAATCTAACCAATAATTAACTGACTAAAACTGTGCTCCTGTGAGGTTTTTAAAAAAATAAATAAAAAGATTTATAAAATCTGCAGATAGCAAGTGCTATTTCAAATGGCATGTCCTTCAGTGTGAGAAAGGAGGGTGCCTGTAAGATACTGTGCACAAAGCCTTTAATTTTGGCTTTTTACATGCAAATTTATACATATTTAATCACTCAACTAAAAATCATGCAGTCAATCACTCAATCATAATTTTTTTAACCAGGTGACAGCCTTTGCAGTAACCAGCAGACAACCACACAACATTGCTGGCTCAGAAACTGGCATTTTAAAAATAGTTCAGTCACTGCAAGTACTAAAACACTTCATCTGTATTTTCTTGGGAATGCTGAGGATGTGTGGTGGTTATAGATCACAGGAAAAGCCTGTTTAGATTTTCATCTGTTGAGGAGATCTGCTTCTAATGGGACTCTTCCCTCCCCACCCCCTCCAGGTTGTGTACTACACTGAAATGTACAAAATCTTTGGTGACTTGACAGAACAGATTGATGAGCCCGGCCTGACGGATGAGCAGAGGCAGAAGGAGAACGAAGCCAAGCTGAGTGAACTGAGGGCCCTTTCCATTGTGGCTGATGACTGACCCGCAACTCGGACGCTCCAGGCTCACTGCTGTTGCTGCCACGAGGGGAAAATGGAGATTGCTCCGTGCTCCTCCTTCTCTAAGATCCTGGTCTTCTCTGGATTGTATATATGCTCGTCCAGATTGACATGGCATATGCACCTGGAGCTGGAGCTCCTGTGGGTTCCCTCCTGACTCTTCTTGATCCTGGGCAATAACCAACCATTGCCTTAAGACACTACTGTCAATTGCAAGCTTTTCACTGATGTTGGCTTTCTTTCACAGCATATTCAAAAATGAGTTTGCCTGGATGCTTTTTATCATAGTTATGTGAGACCCTGAATCGCCATAGTTTACCAGATTTAACATAGGATTTCACCTCTTATCTTATCACAACTGAGCCTTTTCCTAGCAGTGGCACTGTTGAGATTGTATGCCTTTGTACAGTAGAATACTGTCAAAACAAATTTTTATACTGAGTTGCAGCATTATCATTCCTCCTCTCACCTGTATGTGGTTTAATTTTTCTGAGCCCAGAGGAAGATAGCCAGTATTTATAATGGTGGTCTCAGTGCAGCCCATATATCATTATATGGTCAGCCCTGTGGAGCTGTAGAACCTCTATGTGCAGTTGTATAAATAACCACTTGAATATCAGTTACAGGTTTGTAACCTGTTTTCCTGTGCCTCTGTTAACTACATGCAATCAGTAAGATTGCCTACATTGAGTATTGGAGATGGGATTAAGCTAATGAGAGAGCACCACAAGTGTAGCATCATTTTCTTAGGGGAAGCTGCTATGGAAGAGATGTTCCCTTCCTTGATCTTCTCCCACTTTACAACAAGGAAAGCATCTGTGCTGCTCAATATTTCCCACTCTCTTACAATTAAATAAAATGTATGGTGGTAGGTTACTCTTAAGTGCTTCTGTTACCAATGAATTAATTTTATTTTTGCAAAAGGAAAAGGGAAAAAAAACCTGTCCTTGACTATTTTTCCATCTTCCTTCTCTGTGCAACCACCGATACACACACTGCTGCCCTCTACTGCCTGAAAAGGCCAGTCTAAAGCAGCATGGACCTGTTGCATGAGAACAGAGTTGAATACATGAGACGGCAGCAGCTAGAACTAGCTGCTAAGGGAACAGAGGAGCTGAGCTGAGTTTTGATGAGGCTGTTTTAGAGGAGGCAGCTGTGTGAGATGTCAATATTTTATGAACTATATCGATTATTTTAAAAACTCGGTACTCCTTCCCTCTCCGTACCTGTTTAGCATACTGGTTATAGCATAATGCCAAAAACTTTAAAACCCAACGAACCAATCTTAAAAGCCATTGTGAAATTAGGCTGAGGAACTCATTCCTTGACAATGCCTCTCAGCCAGAAATACAGCTTCTCCCTACCACATGAGGGATCATCATTGCATTAAATAATGCCCCTACCTCTGGAGATAACAAGTATGAGGCATGGAACAGAGTGCAGGAATGCACCACATTGCCTTTTGCTTTATTTCAGGTTTTGCTTTATTTCAGTCAGTGGGAGACGGGTTGCTGTGCCACGTAAGCTGCTATTTGCGGGCCTACTTCTGTATAAAGTTATTGGCTAACTCTTTCATCAAGCAGCATCTGAATGATCACTGTATGTCGGCTGCATGTGTTTCTCTCAAATTAAGGCAGGCAAATTTCACTCAAAAGCAAAAAAAGGCAGCACAGCCTTCTAACTGAGGAAAAGACTTTTATAAAAGGGAACCTGGCCAGTTAAATACAAGTTGTTACCACATTTACAGACTAAAAGCAACACATCCAGAAGAGGCAGACCACCTGAGGATGGGGAAACAGGTGGCCAGAGCAGATGCAACCAACAGTGACTGCAGAAGAGGACTCACCCCGGCTTTGGACAGTCCCCCACCCACCTGGCCTGCCGCTACTCTGCTAAAGGCTACCACAGGGACCCAATGGGCTACCTACCACAGCCCTCCTTCCATTGCTACTTCCCCAAAATGGAAGTTAAATGCACTGCAGCCACCCTACCGCCTAAGACCATACCTGGTGGACGATAACTTTGCTTACATTTGAAGACTGGCGAAAACACAGCAGATTGCTAAGCCTTTAAAGCTACATCTTGCAAGTGAGTGACTCAAAACTGCCAGAGAGGGAACCAGATGGCATTGTTTTCCTTAGAATGGCCAGCACACAGCACTGAATGAATGAGGCTCCAAACTCTAACCCACAAAACTGCAATAGTCACAAACTAGCCTGCAGCACTGAATGCATAATCTGTTAAGGATATAAGCCAGGAACCACTGTGTTGGCTCCATCTGATGTTTAAAGTCCTGCTATTTCTTTTGCAGCCTTCTCAGACCACCTTTTAATCAAGAGGCAGGCAGAATGCCACCTTCTTGAGCAAAAGCTGTGGGGCAGGGAGGGAGAGAGGGCTTGAGGAGAAGAGAACAAAATTCTCCACGCGGCACAAAGAGGCCAGCCATGCCCTGTCCTTTGGTGCAGTCAGCACCTGTTGTCTGTCACCGAACTGGGCTTTAAAAAATCCCTTCTAGTACTTGCTACTGGCAGACAGCTTGAGAATACCTGCATGGCAGCTTCTCCACTTCACACAATAGACCATCAAAACTCCTACTTAATGGGTACTCCTCCTTTAAACAATAATGGTGGCTCCAGCATATGAACTGTGATTCCCAGCCACGTTTAGGTGGCCTTTCTGCCAACACACACAAGCCAGAGGTGGCGGAGAGGGCTAAGGAGGAACTCCAGCTCCAGCCTCTCACATGGCAGTGAAAGGGTTGAAGGTTTCAAAGGCTTACCCAGACTGCTAACCCTCAGCCCAAAAATATCAAACCAAGGTACAGATCTTCCCTGCCAAGCTGCTTCTCCAGGGAGTGTCAGTTGCTGGAAACGGCTGTGGGTGTTGGTTCCTTCTTTTCTAGGCAATTATTGGTCTGAAAGAGACAAAAGAAGCACAATAGTAAGAAAAGCAAACATTCAATTTATTTCATTCTCGTTCCCTTCCCCAGTCTTAAGACGATTTATCAAAAAAAATTAAACAAAACAGCACATAAAGAAAAACTTTTAGGTAAGTTGCAGAGACTTTGAACAGATTTCCAGGACGACAACAGTGACACTTTGTTGGGTGCCTTTTTACTCTCCCCCCCCCTTTACTTTTTTAAAAATTGAAAAATTCTCAAACAAAGATACATGTCTCAGAGGTGACATGCCCCCCCCCCCGCCTCACCACAGTATGCTGGAAACTAATTCATCCCTCACCACTACAATTCCCACCACATTGAACTACAGTTTAAAGGATGCTTTGGGGGGTGCCATGTGCTTTAAAGGTACAGTAGATTTGCCAGAGACACTTCTGCAAATGGCTTATAGCTGATCTAAACATATGGAGAAGGCATATAGTATAGCCTTCCTAGACTGCCTCATATAAACAACAACAAAACAGTTGGGAGTGGGAAACACATTTGAATGTTCCCTCTTTGATCATATTCTTGGAAAAGGGATCCAAGCCACCCATTTTCACGATGTAGTGCCTTTTTTAACAACTTAAAATGAACATCTCCCAGTGTTTTGGGTAGGGATATGGAAATAACAGGCAATTGGGAGCTAAGCAGGTCTGGAGAATCCATGACCCTCCAGATGTTTCTGGACAACTCTCACAACCCCCAACTATTTTCATACTTTCTGGGGCTGATGGGAGTTGGGAGCCCAGCAACATCTGTCCCCAGACCTGGAGCAGTGACATGGAATGACTAGAAGACATGGGTCTCGGTTTGCCTCTCCATTCCTAGACCGAATCTGCAGGTAGAAATAAACTGGCTTCTGTATTTGTCCAGAGGCAAAGACTGCGTAAGACAGAAGTCCTCCTGACACCAGCTTCAGGTTTGAGGGAAAGTAGATCCAATTTGTATTAAGTCATGCACTTTACACTGTCTGCAGACCTAAGCACACATACCAGGGAGTAAGCCCCGTGCATAAGTTAGTGGAACTTACTTCCAAGTAAATAAATATGCATAGAATCAAAGAGCAGAGACTTGACAGTGCGTTCTTGAGACAAAAGTCACTGCCAGGAAAGAGACTGATTCCTGAGTCTCCACAGTGACCATGAAGATACTCCCCTCCATCTTTGCCATAAGGACAAAGTAGAAGAGTTGCAGGGCCATGGCATGGCAGTCCAGAGTTGCCTGTTCAGCATCTCACACAAATGAACATTTATAGGTTTACCAAGCCAATTGCCACCAGAATCCACTGTTTGTGGAGCAGCATGCAGGGACGACAACTTGAAAACTCCTGACACCAGATATAAGGTAAAGGGACCCCTGACCATTAGGTCCAGTCATGGCCGACTCTGGGGTTGCGGCGCTCATCTCGCTTTATTGGCCGAGGGAGCCGGCGTACAGCTTCCGGGTCATGTGGCCAGCATGACTAAGTTGCTTCTGGTGAACCAGCGCACGGAAACGCCGTTTACCTTCCCGCCAGAGCGGTACCTATTTATCTACTTGCACTTTGACGTGCTTTCGAACTGCTAGGTTGGCAGGAGCAGGGACCGAGCAACAGGAGCTCACCCCGTCGCGGGGATTCGAACCGCCGACCTTCTGATTGGCAAGTCCTAGGCTCTGTGGTTTAACCCACAGCGCCACCCGCGTCCCTATGACACCAGATAGGCTCTGTCCTAAAATATTCCGCAGGTTCCAGATTACCTTCTCAATTATCTTCTGGATTTCCAGCTGCAGTGGAATCAGGCGCTTCTTATTCTCCAGCAGCAGCCTCTGGAAACTGGATTTTTGTCTCTCGTTCCCCTTGCACTGCTCCTCCATCTCAGTGAGGCGCTTCTGCAGCTCTTGAACCTCCAATGTCAGGGCCTTGTTGGAAGCCTCTGTTGTAGAGAAGCGAAGCTGGGTCTCTTCTGTAAGCACAGCACAGAGGGTAGAGTCAGATTCCAGGAAGTAACACAATGGACTGAGATCAGAGCAGTGCTATCTCCCAACACTAGGAACAAAAGCCATTGTTCTGAACTCACATGGCAGGTGACAAGAGTGAAGGCAGAAATTCAAAGTATCTCAAAAGGGGAAGCTGGAGGACATATTTATACATGGCTGTGGCATATAAATTGGGGAAAGGGCCCTGGCAACAATTGCTCAGGAAACCAGACATTGTTCCATGTGAACACAGAGGTGGCTTCTGCTTTGTTCCCTAGTGCAAGCAGGAGCAACAAACCACAATCCCTGGCCAATCACGTCTGAATGGGATTGTGGTGGTTCCGCTCTGAACCAACCTTGGCTACAGATCGTGGTTTCTCTTATGTGCTCGTGAGGATGAGCAAAGTGGCAGAAATTAGTGCATTCACAGTAGACCATAACCGTGGTTTACTATGTCATCCAAATTAGGCCTTTAAGTATATGGACCCAACTCCACTTAGAAACTCCAGCTAGCCCACTCTCTGCCTCCAGCTCAAATTCTTGGAAAGTCAAGCAGGTATGAGTAGCCAAAAACAGGCAAGGAGCATTAGCCTAGAATCACTGCAGCCCCACCATCCCCAAAGGTTCTATCAACAATGGTTCCACCACTCAATGCTTTATTGCATTAGGTGCCAACTGCACTCCTGCATCCAATTGTTGTTGGGTTTCATTTGCCTAATATATTCTGATCAAAAGAGCCCTGTCATTCATCAGATGTAAGTGCTTTGTATGAGTGTGCCCAATGAACTGCTCCATGTTGCTGAGAGGCTAAAGCAAGGCAGGCGCATTCCCTTGAATTCTGGCTTGGTGCAGCTTCTTGGGGATACTGTACAGCAGGGGTGGGGAACTGGATCTAGACAGGAGGCCATATCTTACCCCTTGTGGCGACATCCAATTGTCAGTCTCCTAGCATAGCAATGTCAAGTCACTTAATTTTGCCCATGAGTTTTGTGGAACAGTTTTCAAAACCTGACAGCTGATAATTGGATCTTGCAAATCTTTTGGGCTGAGGCAAGTCTTTACCTGCCCTACAGCTGGTATCACCTGCGTGGACATGGCTTGACCAAAATGGTCCTGGGACCAAACGGAGAGCCTGGCAGGCCTAATGAGACCCATGGACCACAGGTTCCCCACTCCAATCCTTTACAAGATGAGCCGATCCTAACCATGTGTGGCTCACCCAATTTGAGCTCCAACGTGTGGATTTTGTTCTCTAGATAGAGTCGGCTGTTTTCTGTCTGTTCTGCCTTTTCCAGCAGTTTCCCTACATTAAGGACAGCCCCATTGTATGAAACCAGGTTGCCGGACTGAGACTCTGGAGAATACTTGGTAGGCACCTCAGGCACAGAGATGGATGAGCACAGTAGATTGAGGTTCCCTGTAAGAACAAGGCAACATTTACTCTGCTTGGTTTTGAAATGGAGCATCCAGAGACAGGAAATGGGAACCAAGGGCAGAAAAAAAACCCCATTCAGATTACTTTTGTGCTACAGTTTCCAGCTGCTCCCATTGTGGGTTAGAAAGCTCTGTTCTCTCCTTCCTCCAATCACACACAACTGTCACCATCCCAAAGCTGAGCACACCCTTTAAAGATGGGTTGAAAGAGATTCTACAGAAGTAACTTTTCCCTTCCTTGCATCACTGCAGAGTCACTACTGGCAGGCTGGGCAACATGTACACTGCCCCATGCATTCAGGAATCGGGACAGGGCAGAAGAATATTGGAAGTGCTCCCTAGCAGAACTAGGCATAACTGGGTGGTCAGTAAATAGGACCAGAAACCACTAATCATGTGTAAGAGCTAAGCCGAAACTGTTAAAGAGTTCTAGCTCAGAAGGAAAAATAAAGGGATTCTTCTACCCATGAAGCTCTATGCAACTGAACAGCCCCTTCCAACCCCACACTGAGTACCTACCTAATGGCTCCTCCTCAGGGCCTGGCTCAGTCCCTTCCTGTCGGCTGTAGCGTAGGCTGCGGTAACGGCACACGAACTGCGTCACCACCCTGTTCACCAGGCGCTTCACCTGCCACCAGATGAGACACCCCCCTCCATGAATGGCACTGGAAAAGGCCGCAAACAGATCCTCGTACCCTCAGCGCTAATCAAGAAGGTCTCAAGTCATTCAAACCTCCAGCAAAAGCAGGGGAGAAATCAGATTGGCACTCACCTGCTCTTTGCAGAGATGCAGCCCCAAGGTGAGAAGCACCTTTTCCATATCCCTCCTGTGCAGGTAGCCGCAGAAATTCAAGTCAAAGTAAATGAAGGCAAGGAGGGCATCCAGTGGCAACACAGCACTTGGGTCCAGCTCTCTGGGCTGGGGAAGGGTGGTGTAAGAAAAAGTAAAAGGCTGTTCAAACTGTCAAGGTGTCACTTCCCTTCTACTACAGAGACCATCCCCTGCGCTTTCACTATAGGCTAGATTTCAACAGTGAACTGTTAGGGACTAAGCCTCCCAGAGCCAAAGACTGCATATCTACTGCATATCCACAGCTGACTCTGAACATGTTGGTGAGATTTAGTCTCAGCAACTAGGAACGATCAGGTTTCTGAGATCAGCTCCTATACAACTGAACAGCCATCACTGCACCCAGGAGCCCACTGGGTATCAGAGACAAGCCTAGTTAAAACTGGACCAGAACGATATTGAAACGGCATTAGGTGTTGAGAAGCCTTAGGGGCAGCACAGGCGAATCGAGAACTGGTAATATTACAAACAGGCATCTCGGGCAAAACAAAAAACTGCTCTCATATTTATTTCCTTGCTATGGAAATAGCAAGAAATAGACAGCAAATTCTAGGATTTTGAGGAAGAAAAATCCACATGGATAAGTCTTGTCACAAACCATGGGATACAGAGCTTATAAAAAAAATAGCAGCTGCTGGAATTCGTAGGAACTCCACTTTTCATTTTACAAGCAACACGGTTCTAATTCACATAGGTATGAAGAAAGACATCAAGGCGAAAGGGACAGCTTTTACATAATGCTTAAAAACCCAGAAGATACCCAGATGGGAATTCTGATACTGAGAAATCAGTATCCTTTTCTACAACCCAAGCCCCAGCCACAATTCCCAGGGCCACTGGCCTAAAGAGTTCAAAGCAGACTTTGAGAAGGAGGGGATTTGTCACTGACCACATCATGAAGGGAGGAGAACTCCATCTCTGATTGGTTGGATGCAACTGATCTCACTTCAGCATCTTCTAACTTGACACCTGTGGAAAATGCGGCATGACTGGCTTCAGATGCTGACCTCTGCTCAGTGCTTACCAAGAGAGACTTGAGTGAATACCAGCGTCTTCCAAAGTACAATCTCACTGAGCAGATACCACTGGCTTGTGTGAAATGAACAACAGACCAGAGAAAGGAACCCAAGGATCCTACTCTTGCCCTACTAGGCGTAAGGAAAACCTATGGAAATTCTCCTTTCAACTTGCATCTTCCTTGCAATTAAACACACTGATAGGTGCAGCTGTCTGCAGGCAGCATCATGGCTATCCCAGCCTTTACATATGTGTGTACACACACATACACTTTTCAATGAGAGCAGCCATTATATCTTAACACTGCACTGTAGGATTTCTGCATTTCCCAGAGTACCTACCAAAATCCTCCTCCTCCTCCTCTCTCAGCAGCAGCAAGTCATCCTCTAGGCTCAGCTCACACAGCTCATCTGTAGAATCCTTCGATTCCACTTTGACATTCCCACTGACCTCCTCCTTGGCTGAACTGGCCCCATCTTGACCTGAAGGCTTCTTCTCGGTATCCCCAGCCTCCTCCTTCTACAGGAATGAAAAACACATAAACAGAACTCTTCCAAATTCTGCAGTTTGTACGAATTATGAAAATTTGAGTACATATACATAATCTCTTGTTTCTGCATTATTGGTTTGGCTTTGGCTAGTACTGAGAAGTCCCCAAAAGCAGAAACATAGTTGCCGTCCATGATCACTGCGAATGTAAGTTAGCCACCCACTCTGGCTTCTGAGATGTCAGCAGGCATTGCCCACACACTATCGAGCACAGGCACAACAGCTGGAAATTTGCAGTCCAGTACTCCAATCCTTCCATGGATGCTTTCAAAAGCCACCAGGTGCTCTTAGACCCAGTATGAGGAAGGCGAGACATACCTGCATCACCTAAGCAACTGAGGCCACTTTGCTATACAGTGGTACCTTGGTTTACAACCATAATCCGTTCCGGAGGTCCAGTTGTAAACCAAACCAGGTTGTAACCCAAGGCGCGCTTTCACCAATGGGGCCTCCAAAAAAATGGGTTGTAATCCAAAAAAAATGGGTTATAATCCAAAAAAGGGACATGCACTTCTGGGTTTGACGTGGTTGTAATCCAAAACAGTTGTAATCCAAAGCGGTTGCAAACCAACGTACCACTGTACTAACGGGCCAGAGAGGCACATCACCTCACCTGAGCATCCTTCTGGCTATTTTCCAGGGCTTCCTCTGCCCCAATATTCTCCTGAGGCTCTTCTCTCAGCTCATTCTCTCCCTCCTTCTCTGATTCGGCTGCTTTCTCCTGCTCGGGGTTCTTTGCCTCCACTGACTCCTTCTCTGGCAGGGCCAGTAATGCCTTGTAGAGCTTATAACCAAAATCCCGTTGTAGCATCTCCTGGAAGAACTCTGCCACCACTGCCACCTCAGGGGCGGAAAGAGAGAGAGAGAAAGCAGTGAGAAAGCAGTGAGCAAGAAACAAGGAAACAAGGAAAGATCTTGATGCCTACATCAGCCACAGAAGTGGGTAGACACTTGCATGCAAGCGCAAATCTCAAAGCTGAACATACCAGGTATGAAAAACTTCATAAGACAATCTTATTGTCAGAGCTGCTTCCAGATCCTAGCTCACAGAGGATCACGCTAGCCAGCGATCATTAAACAAAAGTCTTTATTGAGTTACAGTTTCCATTCTCAAGCTGCTGCGTGCAACTCTACGTCTCATGGTTAGACCGGCGAAGCTCCGTCTGAGTCTCCGCCCCTTGTACACCAACTTAATATCCTAGCCCTGCTCCACCTTTTCCGCCTGACTGTTCTTCTCTGGGTCCCTCTGCCCCCTGGGGTCTCTTCTTTCCGGGATTCCTCTGACGCTGACCCCCCTGACTCTTCTCCCTCCTTTCGGCGGGCTTTAGGACCTGGCTCCCTTTCCGGGCTGCCTACTGTGCCACCTTCCTGTGCATTTGAACTTGCGCGCGCGCCCAACCTTCCACCTTCCGTCTGACCGTTTCTTCGCTCCCCGATGGAGGTGTGGCCACTCCTGACTCGTGCCCTCCCCCCTGTTGTGAGCTGCCAGCGCTTGATCCCTGGCTCCCTTCCTCTTCCCTGCTCTCTGGCGGTGACGCTGGTCCCGATTTCCAACTGCTCCCCTCTGAGTCCCCTCTGGCTCTATCTTCCTGGGGCGTCCCCTAGGCTCCCCCTTGCCCTGGCCACTGGTGCTCCTTTCTGTGAATCTTCTGATTCACTGGAAAGACTCGGAGATCTCGGGTCGTCGTCATCACTCATCTTTTCTTCTGCCTCCTCCCCTCGCTCTCTGTTTCCTCCCTTGCCCTTGCCTCTGCTCCTGAACCCCTGACATCCATCCCCCTCGAAGCCCCCTCTTCCCCTCCCTCCTTCCGGTGCGGGATCTGGGTGCTGCCGTGTCAGGGGACGAATGTCGGATACAGTTCGCTTCCCGTGGCGGGCCGCCATCTGAAGTCTTCCGGTTCTTCCTCCCTGCTCTCGTTGACGACGGTCACCTCCGCTTCCATCTCTGTGCCGCCGTGCTCGAAACCCGGGTCGTCCCCGAAAACGTCCATGTCCGTCTCTCCCTCGTTACCTTCTGGAGACGTTGCTCGTCCTGGACCCTCCAGCCACCTTCTGCGGAACTGCTCCTCTGGTCGATCATCCCACCAATACGAGGGTTCTGAAGCAGATCCCGAGGGTGACCCCTCCGGGGAACGGGCGTCTCGTGTCGGTTCCTCGTCCGAGTCGAACCCCCGGAACGTGCTGGCTGAAAGCGTGGGCATGAAAAGCCAGTCGTCGAAAAAGTCTGCTGGCATTGGCCTATGTGGGAAGAGGGCATGAAACTCTTCTTTGAGCAGAGGTTTGTCTAAAGCGTAGCCCGGCACCCAGCTGTTGGCACTGGCCGGGGTGCCCTCCTTGGCGAGAAGGTATTCTACCCCCTCTTCCCCCCATCTGGAGTCCAAAATCTCCGTGGCTTCGTTGATGCGCTCCTCCCGCCCTGCCCGGTTCTCTCTCGGAGCGGACCCGGTGCCGTTCCTGGTTCCTGAAACCTGTGAGGTGCCTTGTATGGAGTGAGCACCGATCTGTGGAACACCGGATGCATCCTGGAACCCTCCGGAAGAGCCAGCCTGAAAGCCACCGGGTTGACCTGTTCTTCGACTTGGTAGGGCCCCAGTTGTTTATGCCCTAGTTTCTTCTTCGCCAACGACCTGGCCGGCACTGCGTGGGCTGCTAACCAGACCCAGTCTCCCACATGGATCTCTTCGCCAACCCTTCTGTGTTTGTCCGCTTGTACCTTGTATGCGTGTTTAGCCAGCTCCAGGTGCCGCCGCAGCTGATCGTGGACCTCCTGCAACTCCGACGCGAATGCATCTGCTGTCTGCGGCTCCCCTCCCCCATTCTTTCCAGTCCCGGGAAGGTTCTGGGGTGCCTCCCGTTGTTGGCGAAGAACGGCGTGACCCCCGTGGACACGTGCTTCGTGTTGTTGTAGGCGAACTCGGCGAGAGGCAGGTAATCCACCCACGTCGCAGGCTGTTGATTCGCATAACATCTCAGGTACTGCTGCATGATGGCATTGACCCGCTCCGCTTGCCCATTGGTCTGCGGGTGTCTAGCCGACGCCAGGTTGATCTTGACGTTCAGGAAGCCCATCAGCCTCTGCCAGAAGTTCGAGATGAACTGTCGCCCTCGGTCGGACAGAATAGACCGCGGCAGACCGTGAACCTTGAACACGTGGTCTATGAACAGTTTGGCGGTTTGTTCCGCCGTGGCCACCTTCGCACACGGAATGAAATGTGCCATCTTGGAGAACAAGTCCACCACCACCAGCACAGCCGTCTTGCCCCTCGAGCTGGGCAGATCCGTGACAAAGTCCAGGGCCACTCTCTCCCATGGTTCGAACGGAGTTTGCAGCGGTTCCAGCAATCCGGCCGGCGGTCTGTGCACTGGTTTGGCCCTCTGGCAGGTGTCACACCTCGCCACGTAGTCCGCGACTTCCCTCTCATTCCTGGCCACCAGAAGTCTCTGGCTACTAATTCCACCGTCTTCTCCTTGCCAAAGTGCCCGGCAGTGGGCGCGTCGTGCAGCTGCTGCAGTACCTTGGCGCGAAGTTCGTCTCCCGGCACGTAGATGGCCCCTTTACGGATGAGCAAACCATCTCGCAGCTGGAACTCGTCGGTCGCTGCCGTGCCCCTGTGCGCCTCTGCCATCTTTGCTTGCGCGAAGGAGTCATCCTGCAACGCTCGTCGCACCGCCTCCAGGTCAACTGTTGCCGCCGTGCACGCCCACACTGTCGGTGCGAAGATGTGCATGGCGGCCGCTGGCGTTGCCTCCTCCAGATACTGCGGCTTACGGGAGAGAGCATCCGCCATGATGTTGGTGTCCCCCGGGACATACTCTATTCGGAAGTCGAAATTCGCAAAGAACTCAGCCCAACGTATCTGCCTCTGGTTCAGGAACTGTGCCGTGCGCCAGTGCTCTAGATTCTTGTGGTCCGTGCAGACCTGCACCGTGTGCTTGGCGCCGATCAGGAAGTGCCTCCACGCTTTGAACGCTGCATGAATGGCCAGCAACTCCCTGTCCCAGATGGTGTAGTTCTGTTCGGACTTGCTGAGCTTCCTTGAGTAAAACGCTCCCGGCCTCCAAACCCCTGCGGGTCCTTCTGCAGCAGGACTGCTCCCACGGCTCTGTCCGAAGCGTCTGTCTCCACCCTCATCGGCTTGCTGGGGTTGACATGAAGCAGTTGCCCTTCCGACGCGAAGAGACGCTTGAGTGCCTGGAAAGGACTGCTCCGCCTGCTCTGTCCAGATGAACTTCTTTTCTTGGAGCTGAGCGTGTCCGTGATGGCCGCTGTCTGCATGGCAAAGCCTTTGATAAACTTGCGATAGAAGTTCGCAAAGCCGACAAACCGTTGGACCTCCTTCCGGTTGCGTGGGCTTTTCCAATCCAACACTGCTCGGACCTTGGCGCTGTCCATGGCGAGCCCTTTATCAGACAACTTGTAGCCCAGGAAATCCACCTCCGTCACGTCGAATTGGCACTTCTCCAGCTTGGCGTAAAGCCTATGTTGCTGTAGCCTGCTCAGCACTTCCTTGACGTGTCTGTCATGCTCCTGCTGCGATTCCGAAAAGATCAGGATGTCATCCAAGAAACAGACGCACGTCTTGTAGAGGAGCCCCGCCAACACGTGATGCATGAACGCTTGAAAACGTGGGAACCATTTTGCAATCCAAAAGGCATAACTCTATATTCGTAGGTGCCCAGGGGCGTAAACATGGCTGTCTTCCACTCATCTCCTTCCCGCATGCGAATGAGGTTGTACGCCCCCTTGCAGGTCCAACTTAGTGAACACGCTGCCCTTCCGTACCTTTGCGAGGAGGTCGTCGATTCGGGGCATGGGGAAGTCCGATGGCTTGGTCACGCTGTTCAAAATGCGATAGTCCACTACAAGTCTTTTCTGGGGCGTGTCCCGCTTCTTAACAAAGAATACCGGACTGCCCCCGCTGCCTTGGACTCTCGGATGAAACCGCGCTCCAAATTATGATCTATGAACTCTTTGAGTTCCTGCAGTTCGTCCTCAGACATGGAATACAGCTTCCCTTTGGGCAGCGCCGCCGGCAGCAGGTCAATTTTGCAGTCATATGGTCTGTGGGGGGGGGTAGCCTGTCTGCCTCCTTCTCGCAGAAAACCTCCAAAAATTCTGCGTACTTGTGGGGAACCGCTTGCAGCGTGCCTAGCTGCAGCTGTGACTCCTCTTCCTCTCCTTCCTGCCGGGGCACGATGCAGTGTTCAGCGCAAAAGGAAGAGCCGAAGGTCAGCTGCCTCTGGTACCAAGCCAGCGTCGGGCTGTGCTTGTCCAGCCAACTCATGCCCAATACAATGGGCGTGTCCGATAGTTGAGTGACATTGAAGCTGATGATTTCCCTGTGATTCCCAAGCCGCATCACCATTGGTGGCGTCTGCTTCACCACTTGCCCCCCTAGCAGCTCCCTGCCATCCACCGTGACAACCTGCAGGGGCAGCGTGGCAGGCAGCAACTGTATAGCGTGCCGGTCGACAAAGTCCTGCCCTATAAAGTCCGCATTGCTTCCGGAGTCAATGGTGATTGGCACGTCCATGGTGATTCCATTGGGCAGCTGGAGCGACGCGGTGAGCCTCACTACTGGTTTGGGCGGGAGGGGGTCCATGGGCTGTAAAATCTCTGGGGACTGCTTCACTGACACGTCTGGCTGGGCCCCAGTGCCTCTTCCTCCAACCAGACTCCGTCGTTTCCCTGCTGTGGTTCTCCTTGCTGCGTTGCTGCAGTTACCATTGCTGAAGCTGCAGTGTGCTTGTGGAGCCTCTGGGGACACTCTTTCGCCATATGCTGTGGAGCATCGCAGATGTAACACTTCCTGTTCCCTCTAGGAGGCTTCGCGGTCACTGCTGCCGGTGCTAGGGCTCTGGCTGCTGACTGAGCCCTTGCACCTCCAACCTCCATAGGTTCCGCTCCTCCTCCTGGCGGAGGCGTGGATTGCGCACGCGCTGCTTCTCTGGGAAGGAAGGAGGAGCCCCTGGCTGGTTCGCGCCCTCCACGCCCTTCGTCCCTGCTCCACGGACGTTCTTCCAGCCGCACCCCCACCGCCAGCGCCCTCTGAACGATCTCCTGCGTGGTCCGGGTCTCTCCCCTCGCAATTTCATCTTTAACCGAGACGTGCAATCCCTCCCAAACCAGGTGTCAGACAGGAGCCGCCTCTCTGTCCCACTCCAGAGCACTCACCCACGCGAAAACGCGGGCATGGTCCTGCCTTACGCTGGTCCTCCCGCGCCTCAGTCCATGTATCTGCTGCCGAGCAAGATCCACGTCAATGCTTGAATAAAAGCACCCATCCATCGCTTTAATAAAGGCATCCGCATTTTGGAGCGCCGGATCCTTATCTCTCCACAAATTGCGCAGCCATGCTTTAGCATCTCCATGCAAATGGGACATGATGAATCCCACCTTCTCTTGCTCATCTCTAAAGTCTTTGTCCAGCAGTTGCAGTGCACACATTACATCTGCTCTAAAGTTGGGGTACTGTTGCAAATTCCCATCGAAGTGAGAGACCAGACCGCCTGTTCGTCTCCCCAACCCAATCCCTCCGGTTTGGGTGTCAGTTGCCCTTGCTTCGTAAGCACTTCCAACCTGACCTGGAGATCCCTGTAGGCGGCAGCTGCGTCCTCCTCTCTCTTCCTGGATGCAAGAGCCTCGGCATTCAGTCGTGACACTGCTTCTCTGAGTTCCGCTATCTGCTGTTCGGCCGTCATATTGTCTGCCTTTCGTGAGCTCGCTAGTAGGCACCCGCTTTCTCTCCTCTCCGCGAGGCTGTAGATGCCCACAATTTATAGGGACGGAGCTTACTGTCAGAGCTGCTTCCAGATCCTAGCTCACAGAGGATCACGCTAGCCAGCGATCATTAAACAAAAGTCTTTATTGAGTTACAGTTTCCATTCTCAAACTGCTGCGTGCAACTCTACGTCTCATGGTTAGACCGGCGAAGCTCCGTCTGAGTCTCCGCCCCTTGTACACCAACTTAATATCCTAGCCCTGCTCCACCTTTTCCGCCTGACTGTTCTTCTCTGGGTCCCTCTGCCCCCTGGGGTCTCTTCTTTCCGGGATTCCTCTGACGCTGACCCCCCTGACTCTTCTCCCTCCTTTCGGCGGGCTTTAGGACCTGGCTCCCTTCCGGGCTGCCTACTGTGCCACCTTCCTGTGCATTTGAACTCATGCGCGCGCCCAACCGTCCACCTTCCGTCTGACCGTTTCTTCGCTCCCCGATGGAGGTGTGGCCACTCCTGACTCGTGCCCTCCCCCCGTTAGGGAGATGCAAGCGCTTGATCCCTGTAGCCCTTCCACTTCCCTGCTCACTGGCGGAGACGCTGGTCCCGAGTTCCAACTGCTCCCTCTGAGTCCCCTCTGGCTCTATCTTCCTGGGGCGTCCCCTAGGCTCCCCTTGCCCTGGCCACTGGTGCTCCTTTCTGTGAATCTTCTGATTCACTGGAAAGACTCGGAGATCTCGGGTCGTCGTCATCACTCATCTTTTCTTCTGCCTCCTCCCCCTCGCTCTCTGTTTCCTCCCTTGCCCTTGCCTCTGCTCCTGAACCCCTGACACTTATGCTCGTATAAACTGCAATTCACTCTACCTTAGACCTATCTGCACCAAGCCTCCTTGACATTCTTCTCCCCTCGCTCCAAGTGCAAAGGCTCATCCACCACCACCCTTTAGAAATACAACTTCTTAAGGCCCTACTGATCACAACACTGTTGTCTGCGAGGGAAATAGGAAGCTGCTCTTTACAGAGTCAGACCTCTGGTCCATCTGCTGCAGTACTGCCTACACTGACTGGCAGTGACTCTTCAGAGAGGACATGGGGGCATTTCTAGTCCTATGTGGAGAGGCTGAGGATTGAAACGGGGACCTTCTGCATGCAAAGCAGATGTTCTACTCGTCTTCTAGCATCCTCTCCTCCCATGCACCCCTTATGCAGACAGGTAGCTGGAGCAGAGGAAGTAGCAGACATTCATGGTCACACCAGAGCTTCCTCAGTAACTTCTACTAGTTTCCATGAACTTCAAACACCATAAAAGGTTACTGAGCTGATAGGAACATAAGTGTGGTAGCTTGCCTGAGATATGCGCCCCAAAAGGCAAATCTCAAATTTCAGCTAGAAAGAGGAGGTGCCAAGAGAAGCCAGAAGAAGAGAGTCTCCCTGTAGAAGCCAGATCCCAAAGAAAATGAAGCCTACCTCAAAGGAGAGCTTCTCCCGCTGCCGCCTGTACTCCAGCAGAGAGCAAAGGGAGATGTTGGTGCAGCTGGGCTGGCCACCCTGCAGTGCCGGCTGAAGGTGAGCAACTATGGTAGGCTCCAGGGGAGGAGTTGGAATCTCTGGCTCAGGTGCTGAGGTCTCAAGAGCTGGCTCAGGGACAGGCTCAGCCGAGTCTACCTCCTGTTCGCTGGACTCCTGCTTGAAGCCTTGTTCAGAGGACTGCACAGTTTCCTCTTCCTGTTTAGGAGCATATGCATTTCAGTAAGCACTGGATGCAACAACCCCTAAGTTGGATGAAGTACATACTCCTGAGCCAAGGCTAATGTCTAGCTTCAATCTGAAGCCAAAGCCTCTTCCCAACTGTGTTCTTAAACTGGTGGCGTGACCCCACAAAGCCTGGGAGACAAGGACTGTCCCATGACTGAAGTCACAGGAACCTAGAAACCTGTCTTATACCAAGTCAGACCAACAGCCCATTGAATACTGTCTACACAGAATGGCAGCAACTCCCTAAAATGGGTTTCAGGCAGGGGTCTCATGCAGCCCTACCTGTAGATGCTGGGAATCAAATGGCCCTTCTCCCAAGTGGTATAAAAGTGCCTTAAATAAATAAATAAATAAATAAAATATTTAAAAACCCTCCTTTTAAGCTATCATGCTGTAGGTTACCAGGTGCCTCTGATTTCTCTCTGCTCTGGTTAACTTTCTGTCCAACACCAACCCATTCTTACCATCTCCACTTTCTCTTCTGATGGTGCAGCAGCTTTTTCTGCTTTCTGCTTGCATGAGGCCTCCCATTCTTCAAGAGATGGCATGCAGCTCCAAATGTCTGGCAAGAAGACCACTGTCCTCTCCTGATGAGATGGGTTTCCCTCACGCAGGTATCTGAACTCTGCAAACCGGAACCTGGTGAGCAGCGATTGGAGAGAGAATTGAGACACAACAGGACACAAAAAGGCCCGTTCTCAGGAGGGCTGTACAGCCCCACCAAGCTCTTCTGCTGCAGCTGGTATGCAGGCTCTTTACAGAATGGTTTCTTTCCTTGGTCACTGAGACCAAGAGCCTTTTAGGTCTTGATCAATCCTATCTGTTCCAAGTCTATGCCGCTCCTGGTGGTCCCAAAAGGAAAGAGCTGGGTGCATCCCAGGTCAGTTACAGGACTCAGGGTGGTTCCTGCTAAACACTCTCCATCCAACCCATGGAGCCAAGGCCAAAGTAAATCAGGATCAGCCTCCTTGAGAGATCACACTAAATTCAAGAAGTAGAGTGGGGATGGCTTGATTGCAAATGCAGAAAGTGTGTAGGGATGCAAGACTCCCACAGGAAGTTGCCTCATTCCTAGAGAAGCAGCAAAACAAGCAGCAAAATACAGAATGATTTCTGAAAAATGCAGAAATGTCACAGCAATGAGCCAGTAAGTACTGTGAGGATTCCTTCCCCAAAGGTCACAAGAGGGGACTCAGACACACTAAGCTCTACAAATTAGATAATGAGGATATACTTAAATGACCTGTGTATGTAATGCTATTTGCATTTCTCCCTTTTGGGGGGAAAAAGAACCTACAGAATGGATTTGTCAGCCATCAGGATAGAGGAGGAGGAGGAGGAGGAGGAGGAGGAGGAGGAGATGGGACTCCTGGGATATTGACTCATACCAGCCAGCAGCCAGCAATGCAGGGACCTTTTTGCCTGTAATGTGGAGGAGAGCAACCTGCAGCTCTCAGCCTTATTTCAGGTGGGGGGAAAGGGAAGGGCAGAGAGAGAGGGGGAAAGGGGTGCTCCACTCCCTTCCACTCCCAACTACTGATTATCCCTGAAAGAACAAGGTCCACGTCAGAAAAACGGTTCCCCACCCTGGCTGTACTGTGTGGCCGGGCTCATTTGTTCCCATCATCTGACAATACTAAGGAGGTCACACACATTCCTGGACTCCCTTTCCTCAGCATCACCAATTCTGTTCTAAAAATACAGATATAGATTCAACATAGTCTCATAAGTGTTCATCTTTTGCTTTGGGGAAATATATTTCAAAAGCTGATCTCTCCCCACTCCAAGCCCCATTACCGTCACCAGTTTTTAAGCTGCACCTTAAAATGATTTTCAGTTCTTTTGAGTCTTCAATATATTCAGGGATCTGAACAATTTGTATCGTAGGCTACTTCACCCATTACACAACAGCAGGCGTGGGTTTGGCACCAAACACACACTCAATTGGCAGACTAACTCAAAACTCTGGAGAGGCCTCTCTCTATGCCAGCACATGTTCTCAGCATTCACACTTTACATGTACATGTATAACATGTTTGGCATTCACCTAAAGAAGAGAATTGCGTGTGCAGCGGCCATTAATCTAGCATACCACCTTCCCGAGTACTGACCAAACCAGCTTTTAAGATCTTCCAAGGAAACCCTGTTGGTTGTCCCTGCTGGTTTTGCTGCTTGGCAACAACATGGAAGTTGGCATTCTTGGTGGTGGCATCCGCCTTTGGAATTTCCTCCCTCAGGTGGTTGCAGAAACAGAGGCAGTAAACAGCTTTAAATACATATATGCTTACCCAAAGTTCCCTGGACTCTGATTCCTAATGCTTATACTTTTTTTCTCTTTATGCACCACTCAGTTTTATCTATGGTATAAAATTACCTTCTGTTTTAGTTAGCTTTTTAAAAGTTTTAATTTATTGTATTTTTATAAGAATTGATACTTCCCCACATCTGCACGATACCTTTAAAGCAGTATCATTCCACTTTAAACAGCTGTGGGCTTCCCCCAAAGAATCGGGCGGGGGCATTAAAGTTGCGAGGAGATCCCTATTTCCCTCATAGGAATATATCATCAATTCCTTATAGCTTTGTGAGCGGAATTGTCTCCTAACAACTTTCAACCTCCTTAACAAACTGCAGCTCCCACAGCCCTGTGGGAGAAGCCACAGGTGTTTAAAACGGAATGATACTGCCTTAAATGTATAGTGAACAGACCTCTATGTTGCAATATAGACAAGCTGAACAAAATAACACAACATGATGGCCAATAACAATGGCACTAAACACTATAGACTAATACAAATGATCAGAAATTGCAACCAAAGTCTCAAAATCTTCTTCACCGGTCGCGGTGGAATAATTCAAAAATTTGATCTATACATAATCTGTCACCAAATATCGCCGGAACAGAGTTTCCAGATAACCAATCTGTTTCGTTCAATGCTTCATCAGCCAATCTTGATCAATTCTTCATCACCCAGACTTGTAAGAATTAATATGAGAAGGATGCCGTTCAATTTCTTAACAAGATGTAAGTAAATATAAATGATGTAGGAAATATGCTCTGGATCAGTGCTGATATGATACGGTAGTCACTGATGCTGGTAACAAATTGTAAAGAACATAATATAGTTAGCCACAAGTGAAACTAATATACTGTAAGGAAAATTAAAGACACAGCACAACATTAACAGCAAGAATGCCTGACATAAGTAGATAAATAGGTACTGCTACGGCGGGAAGGCACTAAACACCAGATGAAAACAGTACCCCATCCAGTCAGTGGATCATAATGCAATTAAATAAAACAATGAAAATCTAACTAGCATATTTCCTACAGCATTTATATTTACTTATATCTTGTTAAGAAACTGAACTGCATCCTTCTCATATTAATTCTTACAAGTCTGGCTGATGAAGAATTGAACAAAACAGATTGGTTATCCGGAAACTCTGTTCCGGCGATATTTGGTGACAGATTATGTATAGATCAAATTTTTGAATTATTCCACCGCGACCGGTGAAGAAGATTTCGAGACTTTGGTTGCAATTTCTGATCATTTGTATTAGTCTATAAATAGTGTTTAGTGCCATTGCTATTGGCCATCGTGTTGTGTTATTTTGTTCAGCTTAAATGTATAGTGCACAGGTGGGGCCACTGGTTTACTATTATAATCCTTTCCCCCGTAAGTCAATTAAGTGATTTCTTTGTCTATTGTGGTATATACATTTTATGAATAAATAAACTAGTGAGACTCAGCCAAACGCTACTGGAGAAGATCTACTTTCCATCCAAGTTGGCAACAGTTGCCCAATGAATGCTGGCCCAGGACGGATTCCTTCCACAAAATCCAGTGACCAGCCAAGCTCTGTTGCTGCTCTTGGCCTGTAATGGTTCCAGAATCCAGAACCTGAGTGTCATTCATTCTGCTAGCCTCGCTCACTGCAGTTGCCCCTGCCATTAGACTTCACTCCAGAAACATTTGACTTTGTTCAGCACTAGAGAACAGAAGAAGAGGGACGAGTACTCCAACCCAAGACTGAATTCAACAGGTGGCAAAGCTTTAAAGGCCCAGAAGCTCCCATCTTCCTGCATCTGTTACTTCCCAAACAAGTCACATGTGCAGTCAGGTTTAAGCAAAATAAGATCTGTTGCCATGGTTACCCAGTGCAAGGAATCTATATATAGCCATGCTGCTACTAACCAAACCAATGTATTCCAAGTTCCGGCTTCTCCCCTCCATGTCGATTGGCTGGAGGTCTGAGCTTATGAAGTATTCACTGACTCCAAGGAGCTCATGTGCAAAAGCATCTGCTGGACTTCCAGGGAACCAGTGGCACACAGTTCTCAGTTAGGATGGCAGCACAGATGGGCTTTCCCTAGAAGCAGCTCCCCAAGCCCCAAGAACTGAGCAAAAGCCCTTGAGTCTGGGCAGTGAGACCCGTATCCACCCATGTTTTCTGCAACTCCACCTATTCTGTGTATTGATGCTTCCCACCCACAAAGAAGGCTCTTGCTCCCCGCCCCCCGCTAGTGATGGCTCAAAAGGAGGCTGCCATTGCTTCACCACTACAGGTGAGAGGAAGGGGACCCAGAAGGTAAACAGAGGAGAGGATGCTCTCAGCTCACAAAGGGCAGAAACAACTTCATCATTAACTACAGAACTCTTTGATTCATGGGGTTATTTAAAGTACACACTAGCTCTTATCAATTTATTTATTTTTTTAAGAAGCAGACTTGAAAAATGTGGTCATAATCCCAGACATTCCCATGCCAGACATGGGGAACCTCTGCCAGGTTATGGGCCAGAATTAGGCCTGGAAGAGTTTCTAGACTGGCCCTTAAAGCAATTTTCTCCAAATCACGACCACCTGCCCCACAGGCAGGTAAAGACATGGCTGCAAAGGAGCAATGAGGAGCTTAAAGCATGCTGCTGATGGTTTCTTGAAAAGCGGGAGTAACTGACAAGCCCTTTTGAAATTGTCTATCTGCAGCTTGGTTTGAATTCAAACCACACCTGTAGGCATTTATCTTCTGAAGAAGCAACAGGTTTGTGGGACTGCAAAGGGAAAATGTTAAGTTACAAATGGAAAAAACAGCGTTTGCTGTCCAGCACTAAGCTGCTGCTTGCTGCTGGCAAAGAGTTCCTTTGCGTTTAGCCCTGAGGACAGTATCTAGCCTCTGGCCAAAAAAGATTCCCGACCCCTGCCATAGCCATTTCAGTTCTGCCAAAAAAGAAACTAGTGCTGTAGGCATTTCTGAAAAATAGCCCTCTTACATTGCAGCAATAAATTTCCAGAATAAAATCAACGTAATTTTGCATAGCACATGCATAAAGCTGAGACTCAACAAAACCGATTTGCTTGCTTTATCTCATTAAAAAGGCAGCCACCTAGTGGTCAAGCTAGCCAAGCAATAATGACATGCTGCTGTGCTTCTGAATGATAAAATGAGAAACAGGGAACGAATCCTGTAGCATCTTAAAAATGAACAGATTTGTGTTGTATCAATATTCATGGACTAAAAGTACTCCTCACCGGATGCATTATTAGGCTTCTAGTCCAGGAAAGCTGATGCCACAGTTAAATCAGCCTCAAAGGTGCCACATAACCATTTTTTAAAATTTGTTCTAACAGACTAATATGACTAGTGGGCTTTTGTATTGCTTGGCAGTATGAACAGAAGCTTTACCCTCCACCCCACCAATCTGGTCTCCCATCACAGGAGAAGCAATGGCGGCAGATGGTAAGCAAAAAGGGCCCCGGGCCCCGGGCCCCGGGGACGACAATCCTGTGCTCTGGCACATCTTCCTTTGTTGCCGCCCGCCATAATCTGCTCAATACTTCTTCTGATCGCAGAGTCTTCTGCAGTCCCTGAGCATGAAGCTGCATGCACAGGCCGTCTGCTCCAAATCACAGACAAGTCCCTTTCTAACAATGACTTGTAGTTTCACTTTTTTTTCATTCTAGGCATTTATACCTAGCCTGTATTCATATGGTGCCCCAGGCAGCTTATGTAAAACCCTAAAAATATCAACATAAATAATGAACAATAAAAAATGAAAGTCGCAAGCCATAAAAGCAACACAGCAGCAACATTTAAAAGGGGGAAAGAAAAACAGATGAAAAGCTTGGAAACATAAAAAGGGGTTTGCATGGTGCCAAACAGACAGAAGAGGCACTGGGGATATTCCCTGGAAAGGGGTTTCCACAGCTGGGGAACACAACCAAGAAGGAACTTTTTCCAGTCTCTACCCACCTCACTTCTGAAGGCAGGGGGGACACCCAGAAAGTTTTATGTTATAATGTGTTTTATTTTTGGCCCCGTTTCAACTATAGGATATAGTATGCCAACAGCAAAACAGGCATTTACTCTGCCTAAACGGGAAAGGGCCATAGCTCAGGGGAAGAACCCATGCTTTGCATGCAGAAAGTCCCAGCTTCAGTCTTGGGCATCTGCAGGTGGGCTGGAGGAAGGCTCCCTGCCTGAAACCCTGGAGCCACGGCCAGTCAGCGTGGACACTCCTGAGCCAGATGGACCAATGGACTGACTCAGTATAAGGCAGCTGCATGTGTTCCTACAACTATTAAAATCTATCTGGAAATTCAAAGATATGGTTACCAAGTACATCCCCCTTAACTCAATCAAACTGATCAGATCTACAGTGGTACCTCAGGTTGCAGACGCTTCAGGTTACAGACTCCACTAACCCAGAAGTACCTCGGGTTAAGAACTTCGCTTCAGGATGAGAGCAGAAATCGGTACGGCGGCAGCGGGAGGCCCCACTGCTAAAGTGGTACCTCAGGTTAAGAACAGTTTCAGGTTAAGAACGGACTTCCAGAATGAATCAAGTTCTTAACCGAGGTACCACTGTAATGGGACGCGGGTGGCGCTGTGGGTAAAACCTCAGCGCCTAGGGCTTGCCGATCACATGGTCGGCGGTTCGAATCCTCGCGGCGGGGTGAGCTCCCATCTTTCGGTCCCAGCTCCTGCCCACCTAGCAGTTCGAAAGCACCCCTAAGTGCAAGTAGATAAATAGTTACAGCTTTATAGCGGGAAGGTAAACGGCGTTTCCGTGTGCTGCGCTGGTGCTGGCTCGCCAGAGCAGCTTCGTCACGCTGGCCACGTGACCCAGAAGTGTCTCCGGACAGCGCTGGCCCCCGGCCTCTTAAGTGAGATGGGCGCACAACCCTAGAGTCGGACACGACTGGCCCGTACGGGCAGGGGTACCTTTACCTTTTAACCACTGTAATGATCATTCACCTGGGATCCCAGGTAACAAGATTCTATTGATTTCACATTATCAGTTTTGATGTAAACTTCCTTGAACATATCATGTGGAAAGGCAATATATAAATAAATAAGGGCTGGCTGATAGTTTGCATGAATCTCTCTCCAAACCAGGGTGGGGAAACCTCAGGCCTGGCTCAGAGGCTGAATGTGGCTCTCAGGCCTCTCCCTGGGTGACTCCCCTTAGCAGCCCTGCTCCCCACCCTTGAGTGCTTTGGTCTGGCTAGAATTTGCCCCGAACTGTGATAACACCTCTCGTTTCCTTGGATTGGGAGGTACATGTGCATTTTTGCAGAAAGGGAAGACGAAGGGTAGGATATAAATAAAGCCATTGCCCCACCCACCACTGGCATGCAGCCCCCGAAAAGTTGCCCACAAGGGAATGCAACCCCTGGGCTGAAATGTTCCCCACCCCAGCTCTAAACAGACCCATAGTCTCCAGTCCCAACACCACTTAGACTCACCACTTAGTGCAAGCACTCAAGTCCAAACCAATCTGCGCTTTGGTGCAACGAATGGCTGTGTGAATCAGAGCCATAGGGTTTGCAGCTGGGTCAGGACCGTCCAGAGATGGGGACCACTCCCCTCCAATCAGCACTGCTTCGTCTGCTTTCTTTCTCAGCAAGAACTAAGGAAAGAGAGACTGTAAGGAGACATACTACCCAGATCTTGGAGGGTGACTGAGCTCAGGGAGATGCCTTGATTACCCCCAACTCCTGCTACCCCAGCCCCCAACCACACCTGACTAATCAGCATGGCTCCTTACCCACTGAAAACTGGAAGAGACCAAAAGGCATCAAGTCTAACCTAATGCTTCATGGCTAGAATAGCCTCTTACAGACCACAACCTGACCAATCCAAAATGCAGGGAACCACAAGCAGGGCTGAAAACATGTTACTGTCAGCATCAGCCTCCCAGCTATAGAAAAGGAACCTCATCTAGGTTGAGTGCGGGGAATGGGGCAAGGGATCTAAGGCACTTTGTACATCATCTAGCTAGAAGACCTTAAGGAAGCCCAACTGTACCTGCTCCTAGAGAAGGCAGCCAACATCCCACAGTAGTTTGTAGGTGGGGGTAAGCTTGTTGTTGACCCCAAATGTATACTCTCAAAAGCAATACCTACATCATCTAAAATCTTTAGTCTCTAGATATGGTATTCCTGGTACCACAGAGGAAAAGGTGGGAATAAAAGCCCTTTCACAGGAGAAGAAAGTCGTTCCAGATCTCAGTGGAACAGAAGTTCACTCCCACATAGGAAAAGAAATCACAATATTCTGCCCATACATTTGTAATCTATTCAAATTTATTGTTTTAAACCATAGGTCAGGGCACTAGAGAATATATTCATCAATGCATTTTCCCTGAATCACTCTTCAGTCTCCCACCTGACCCTGCTTCTCAAATTTTTTTCATGGATATTCTTCCCAGTTATCTGAGTAGCTTCACCCTCCCTAGTTCTTGCACAAGGCTAAGAGTAAAGTCTGGCATCCCTCTAGGCCGCCCTCTCTTGAACCAGAAGATTCTCACCTTAATTTGCTTAGTTGGGTGCTCAGGACTCTCCCTCTGGTCACTGGGATCTTCAATATATAGCAAACAATTGCGGTAAAATTCTTCAATGCCCGGAGAAGAAAGCAGCAAAACCTACATTGGGGAGGGACCAATATCTTAGCAGAAAGGAAGAAGCATTTCATGTAGAAAGCTGAAGGTTCAATCCCTGGTATCTCAAAAAGGGAAATACCTCTGTCCAGGGTTCTAGACAGCTACCATCACATCAGAGTGGCTCTCTGGAGAGGATGGTCTGACTTGGTATAATACAGCTTCATAGGTACTAGAGTGACCTCGCCTCACTCCCACCCCCTATTGCAGACAGGCTATTGCATGGTTGATCCTGAAAAGGGGTTAGCAAAATGTTATGCAACGGGTAAACTGCTCTTACATATTTTTATAGTTTTTAATTCATAGATACTGTTTTTAACTGCTGCTGCCTTGTATTTTTTTTATGACCTTTTTAATAAAAAAAAACAACTGTAAGCCACGTCGAACATTTTAATGGAAAAACTGGATATAAATGTCTTAGATATATAAAACACCGAGAAGGGCCCAGATCTTTCTCCAAATCCGACAATGCCACAGAGCCGTACGCAGAATCTGAAGAAGAGGCTACTAGCTAAAGGGAAGGTGAAGGAAGTGGCACCAAAGCTTATGGTTTCCATATGTCTGTTATCTTCAACAAACATACGTAGGCAGAATTTGATGTACAACAAAGAAGTCATCGTCTTTACCACCTCTCTCATTTTTCTTCTTTAAAACACCAAGAGACAGGTGCATATGCAAGTTCTGTTAGTTGAAGGTGAATGTGTGGGAACCCCAGGAATGCCAAGCAGTTCCCAGTGCAGTCATACCTCGGGTTACAGACACTTCAGGTTGTGCGTTTTTGGGTTGCGCACCACGCCGAACCCGGAAGTACCAGAACGGGTTACTTCCCGGTTTCGGCACTCACACATGTGCAGAAGCACTAAATCACGCTTTGCGCATGCGCAGAATCACCGAATCGCAACCTGCACGTGCGCAGATGCGGCGCTGCAGGTTGCAAACACTTTGGGTTGCAAACGTGCCTCCCGCACGGATCACATTCGCAACCTGAGCATCCACTGTATTCCCTTTATGTTGGGCACCAGCCATGTATGGGCAAAAAGAATCAGTTAATCCCAGGACACCTAGTCAGCCTCAGCTGAATCTGTACTGTACTGTAGTGCTGTACTCAGCATGGATAGCATGGTCAAAGCAACACTGGGCTTTAGCTGAGTCTGCAAGGGGAAAGTAGTTTGACGCCCTAGTATGGACTCTCACAGGTATGATGGGATGAAGCATTAGTGACAGAGAAGGTGAAGCTCAACAGGTGCGCAAATAAGCTTGAAGTTCAGCCTGACTCAAACATTAAAACTATTTGCAGCACCTGGTTTTCACCCACTACATCTGCCAGTTCTTGGTCCAGCCCCCATTTGGTTTGCGTTAACAGAACAACCACCAAATCCTTCACCTTGGCACTGTATGCAGAGTTGGCATCTTCTGGCTGAGCATCCTGCATTGTGCCTTCATCACCCTGAGGCGCCTCTTCAGCAGTACTGGCTACCTGGATGCGGCTGGGGTGCCGGAGAGTCAGTGGCTGAGTGAGTGGAAAGGTGTCCAACCAGCTGAGGCGCACATCATAGAACTCCTTGGGCAGCTGGATACTGCAGTAACGCCTCAAGATTTCCATGGCATCGCAGAAGGGGCTGGAGAAAACAGACAGATGCCAACGCCAACCCCCAAAAGAGTGTAGTTTGAATTATAGTTCTCAAGATTAAGGAGCAGGTTTTGTGCATGTTTGGATACAAGATGGTGGAATGAACCTTCCAAAACTGCATTGATTTTAACTATACTGATTTGTGAGTTTCTAATTCCCAAGCAACATCAGCTAAAGGTTGAGAATAATGAAGACGGTGACATTTATATACTTCCTTTCTGCCAAGGCAGTTAGTTGTTGAGCATGAAAAGCTCCTATTCCTGACACGTGAGGGTTCATTCAGCAATCCCCTCCCCAAAAGGGGCCCCTTGGTCTCCTGGCCTTACCTGTTCACAGCATAGCAGGCCAACTGGACTCGGTACTGGGGTGGTTCGTGCCGTGGTTTTTTCACTCCCCATGGCTCGTTACCTTTCTGCTTCCGTTTCTTGGCGTCAAAGTCGTCCCTAAAAACATGGCAGCACAGCAGCTAAGACAGCAATAGCCATGAGATGCCAGATCCTCCAAGCTTCAGTTCTTAGCAATACACAGCCCTGCAAAGGCCCTAAGCTTAGGAAAGAGAGGGGGCACGAGACACCCAGCCTGATTACCAAAATTATGGTCTGACAAATGTATATCCCTACCCTGGAAGAAATTGTGTGGAACCTGTAATTACTGCAGTCACTCAGATTTATAACCATGTGTTTTATCCAAAGATGTCAGGGCCTTCTGCTCTAAGATTCACTGCATCAATCAACTCTCCCATGCAATGTGCGGCCAGGATTGATTCTGCTTAGCCACTGACCTATGACAACCCCAACAAATATCACAGAAGACCATAAAGGAGTGTATATGTTATCTAGCACTCTGTTTCTGAAAGCAGTCAGCAAAATTCTTCCAGGAAGCCCACAATTGGCACACAAAGGCATTGACAGGCCTCCCCACCCTTGCCCACCAGTATCACGTATCCATTGGCATACCACCCCTGAACCATTCTATTTAGCCATCATGGCTAACTGTGGCACAAGAATCCTTGAGGGGCAGGAGAAAGGCTGAGAGAATTTTGCAGCTGCCACCCTGTAATACTACAAGCACAACTGAAACTAAAAGCAGCAGCACGAGACTGAAAGGGAAAAGCCTGGAGCCAGGGTCCACCCCCGTCATCTCCAGTTAAAAAGGATTGAGTAGCAGTTACTGGGGGGGACGGGACTTCCCCCTGCCTGAGACCCTGGGGAGCCACCGTAATCAATACTAGCAGACAAGACTAGGCTAAGGGGACAAACAGTCTGACCTGGTATGAAGCAGGTTTCCTAGATATGAATTTTTTTGCTGAATAGAAAGAGGCAGTGTGAGCACAAGGAAAATACTAAATCTCAATGTGGGGGGGGGGTGCACAGAGAACAGGTGCAAACCTTCCAGTTGTGGAAAAAACAAGCATATGTGTCAAGGGCTCTTCAGGATAACTCTCTTTGGAAGCCTGCACTATTTGCAATCCAAAAAGGAGGAGGAACAGAAAGGGACTTTGTGCCAGCACAGAGGACACCTACAGTCCTTACCATCTGCCTGAGTCTTGCCTGCCCTTTGGACCCCGGCCAGTATATCTGCCAAGATGGCTCAAGTGCAGCGATGGAGATGTCTGGAAAAGGCTCATTGCTGAGGAAGAAAGACATACAGTCTTATTTCTGCCTTTTGGACTATTCATTGGCCTCCCTGTGCTGCCCCCCCCCATTCACTCAAAATTGTTATCATCAGCTGGTTCCAATTCACACACTAATTCCATCTCAGGCTGAAAATCTAGCTCCCCACCTTGGTCACATATATACCACCCTAGAGATCCTTCACAGAGCTGCAACACAGGTCCTATCCACCCATCCCTTATCAAATAAATTATAGTCTTTTCCCATGGCCCAGTAAAGAGGGCTTATTGAAGACTTGGGCTCCATGCTACCATCCTAAAAGAGGATCTTGCCTCAGTTTTTTCCATGGTTTCCAAAAGAGATCTGTCTCAAATTCCATCACCAGACATACCACCCCAAATTGTATATTTGCAATGCTTAGTATGTCTAACCATTCCATTTCTCCACCAGCAAACACAAGATGCAGCAACACTTACGCTTCTGGGGAAAGAGAGGTGGGATACGGTGAGGCTGAAACAGCAGCTGTGGCTGGGCTCCCAGGATGCCTTGCTTCTGCCCCAAAGAAGCCACATGGAGCAGAGGGGTGGGGGGCTTCAGAAGAGGCTGTGGTACAAGCAGAGGCTATGAACCAGAAATACAACCCTTCTTACCCTACTAGTTCCCATATTTAAGAATGCAGACCTCATTGCGAAGAATCAGGAGTGAACTCCCCATTTCTCCACAATGTCAACAGTATTGGCAATGCAGAGACACAAAAGTGGAATGTGCCTATGCCAGAAAAGCACCACAGAATACCAGATAGCCCGGCCAAGAAATAAACCAGAAACATACATGCACACCATTTTCTTCTGCATGGCATATACATCATCAGCAACAGAAAAGCTGCACTATGGACTTCATATTAATATCTCACATCTATCATTCCAGAATGCAAAGTGCCTGGAATGGATAATCAACGATGCTTTTCCAAATCTAGAGTGCCCCAAAATTTGAAGTAGTAATGAAAGGAACAACAGTCACTATTAATGTACCCATTCTCTTGCTAATTTAGTATTTATCAGTCTTTGGCAAGAGGGGCTCAAAACAAGATTTTATCTTCCAAGATACACCATTCCTCTCACCACCCACCAATCTAAATCCCCACTACAACACGCAGAATTGTGCACCTAAAGAGTATGATCAGTCTTCACTGAGTTGTTTTAGGGTCGTTGGGCTTTTTCCCACCTAAAGCTTTTTGTACTTCTGCAGATACGCCACTGCCTCTTTTGCTTCTTCATGGCCCCGTTTTGGCTACAACCCTGTTGGCACTCGCTAGGGAGCAAGACACTACGAGAAACTGAGAGACTTTCAAAGATTCTATGCTTAACAGCTTCAGGCCAATCTATTATTCATTTGCTAGCACCTGATGTTAGCTACTTTAGGAACATCAGATTTTAGGTTGTTAAAATGACTCCAAAAGGTTACCAATATGCACTTTGTAATCTCTTGCAGATGGTGATACAGTATATCACACCCCCAACGCCAAAAGCATGCTCTGCCACCCATGTAGGGCCAGTGTCTCTACAATGCCAATCAATGCCAGATAATATCCAGTGTTTCCCATTTTCCATGTTTGGCTTGTCACAGTTTTTACATTTCATCCCACTTTTTTGCAATGTAGAAAGGAACTATTAATTATAGAAAGCTTGGGATTATTTCTGTATAAATAAAGAATTCCAATCTAGCTGTATGGGATAAAGCTGCTTTCCAATGGCATAAGACAAGGCAAGAAAGGACACTGATAACTCCCATAACTTTGGTTTGCAATGCAAAAAGGAATCCAGCACAAGCAACACAGATTTCTGAAGAGAATGGCCAGGGCAGAGTCACTATATAGAAACTGAAAACTGGCTGGTTTGAAATCTGGATCCTCTAGAAGCCACTGCAAACATGTTACATTTACCGTATTTTTCTCTCCATAAGGTGCACCTAGTTTTGGGAGGAGGAAAACAAGAAAAAAGTATTCTGAATCCCAGAAGCCAGAACATCAAGAGAGATCTGGTTTCTGGGATACCGTGTGGCTGTTCTGGCTTCTGGGATAACCGCGCCAAGCCTCTTCAGGGCAGTGGGATGAAGGCTCCCCCTGCCTGAAGAGGGAGAAGCCAGAACAGGCGCGTTGCTGAAGGGGCGCTGCGCAGTTCTCCCTCTCTGCGCAGCGTCTCTCCTTCACAGGAGAGGCGCTGCACAGAGAGGGAGAACTGCGCAGCGCCCCTTCAAGCGAAGCTGGAGAAGGAACAGGAGACCCTTCTGTTCCTCCTCCGGCTTCCAGGACAGGAGCGTCGCTGCGAAGCGGGAGGAGGAACAGAAGGATTCCCTTCCATTCCTCCTCTGGCTTCCAGGACAGGCGCCCCTTTAAGCGAAGCTTCGCAGGACAGGCGCGTCGCTGAAGGGGCGCTACACAGCTCTCCCTCTCTGCGCAGCATCTCTCCTTTGCAGGAGAGGCGCTGCACAGAGAGGGAGAGCTGCGCAGCGCCCCTTCAGAGAAGACGGAGGAGGAACAGAAGGGTCTCCTTCTGTTCCTCCTCCCGCTTCGCTGAACGGGTGTTGCGCAGCTCTCCCTCTCTGTGCAGCGCCATTCGCTCCATAAGACGCACTCACATTTCCCCTTACCTTTTAGGAGGAAAAAAGTGTGACTTATGGAACAAAAAATACGGTATTTTATAGTTTCCTTTTTTACGTTGATGGTTGAGATGTTTATTTGGTTTCACACTGTAAATCTAGCGGATTGAGGTTGAATCCTGACAAGACAAAAGTACTGTTTTTGGGGACAGGAGGCGAGTGGGTGTGGGGGACTCCCTGGTCCTGAATGTGGTAACTGAGTCCCTGAAGGACCAGGTGCAGAGCCTGGGAGTCATTTTGGACTCACAGCTGTCCATGGAGGTGCAGGTCAATTCTGTGTCCAGGGCAGCTGTCTACCAGCTCCATCTGGTAAGCAGGAAGTGACCCTACCTGCCCACGGACTGTCTCGCCAGAGTGGTGCATGTTCTAGTTATCTCCCGCTTGGACTGCAATGCGTTCTCCATGGGGCTACCTTTGAAGGTGACCTGGAAACTACAACTAATCCAGTATGTTGCAGCTAGACTGGTGACTGGGAGCTGCCACCAAGACCACATAACACCAGTCTTGGAAGACCTACATTGGCTCCCAGTACATTTCCGAGCACAATTCAAAGTGTTGGTGCTGACCTTTAAAGCCCTAAATGGTCTCAACCCAGTATACCTGAAAGAGCATCTCCCCCCCCCCGCCCCATCATTCTACCCAGACACTGAGGTCCAGCGCCAAGGGCCTTCTGGCAGTTCCCTCCCTACGAGAAGCGAAGATACAGCGAAACAGGCAGAGGGCCTTCTTGGTAGTGGTGCCCACCCTGTGCAACACCCTCCCATCAAATGTCAAACAGATAAACTACTATATGATTTTTAGAAAACATCTAAAGGCAGCCCTGTACAGGGAATTTTTTTATGTTTGGTGTTTTATTGTGTTATTATAGTTTGCTGGAAGGTACCCAGCATGGCTGGGACAAACCAATCAGATGGATGGCATATAAATAACAAAATTATCAATAATAATAATAATAATAATAATAATATCACTTCTTTGGCTCTGTGTGAAGGTCTCTTAGTTCTGACTTGCAATTCCATTCAAGATTCAGAAGCTATCTGGGCTTTTCTAATGTCTCTGGTGAAAGACCCACTTTTCATGTTAGTTGTGAATCTTTCATTGCTTCATTGTACGATATGAATTAGCACTGAATAAAGTGTGCCACCTTAGTAGAAGAAAGGTAACTCATCTCCGTACATGAGATCAAAGGGAACACAAGCAAAGTAACTCAAACTCTATTTACGACAAAAAAGAATCCCCCTACACACTTGGAGAATGAAACACTGAGGTACCTGATTTGACAATGTCTGGACCTTCAAGGCATTCCAGGGCACTGACTGGCTGGGGTTGTAGACAGCTTTCACCAGCACCTTTTCGCCAATCTGTGGGATCCGACCTTTGACAACACTGAAACAAAACAGAAGAGATGAAAACACATGTCTTATTTCTGCTGGTGCTGAGTTTCTAATGGGCACCTCCAAAGCTCATAACTGAAGGTCAAGTCCAGCTTCCCCAGCCAGGCCCTGTCCTGTCCTGTGCAGACAGCAGAGTCAGGAGTCTACGTTTTCTGACTGTACTTCACAGGAAACATACAAAGTTGCCTTATATCAGGGTCCGGCTAATTATGCATTTAGCAAAGTATTGTCAACTCTAACATGCAGCCGCTCTCCAGGATCCCAGACAGATATTTACCACCACCTGCAGTCCAATTCTTTTTTTAAAAAATGGATATACAGTGGTGCCTCGCAAGACGAAATTAATCCGTTCCGCGAGTCTCTTCGTCTTGCGGTTTTTTCATCTTGCGAAGCACGGCTATTAGCGGCTTGGCGGCTATTAATGGCTTAGCGGCTATTAACGGCTTAGCGGCTTTAAGAAAAAGGAAACAAACTCGCAAGAACTCGCAAGACGTTTCGTCTTGCGAAGCAAGCCCATAGGGAAATTCGTCTTGCGGAACGACTCAAAAAACGGAAAACTCTTTCGTCTAGCGAGCTTTTCGTCTTGCGAGGCATTCGTCTTGCGGGGCACCACTGTATCAGGAATTGAACCTGGCACCTTCTGAAGGCAAACCATATGCTCCACCACTGAGCTCTGCTTCCTCCACTAAAGACTGCATGTGAGGAAATCAGATTTTTCGTTATCTGTTGCATAAAGAAAAAAATATCTGCAAGTATTAAGCTAGAACAGCAATAACTGGCTGGAATTGTTTCTCCACAATTCAAAGTGCTGCCTCAGGATTGCAATACCACAAGAAATACCTCTCTACATACGAATAAGCCTGGAACCCGGTGGTCTTCATCAGAGGCCTTTTTTGTGTGTGCCCCACCCAAGGGGGGTATGGAGGGTGGCCATACGAGAACAGGCCTTTTCAGCGGTGCCCCCCCCCATCTATGAAATGCTCCTTTCCAGGGAAACTCACCTGACACCATCTTTGTCAGTTTCTAGGTGCCAAGCTAAGACCTTTCTGTTTACCTAGACTCTGGTTAATTAATGTTGCCTCCTATGATTATGCTCATCTTATGGTGAGGTGGGTAGGACTTAGTCCTTTTTGATATGTTGCTAGAAGAGAATTTTAAGTATTTTCAACTGCTTTAAAAAATTTTGGTTTTAAATCATTTTTATGTTTTCTTTTGTCAAGTTCATTTTTATTATGAAATTTATTTTTATTACTTAAAATGTGTTGGGGTGTTTATTGGGTTGTTTTTGTTTTTATTTTGATTATGTATTTAGTAGCTTTAAATTCTGATTTTATCCTGTGAACCACTTTGAGACCTGCAAAAGAGACGATTGGCAATTAAAGTTGATGGAATACGCAGAGATGGCGAAACTTACCAGAAGATTAAGAGATGATAAACTCTTTGTAGCAGAATGGAGGAAATTTATTGAATATATGAAAACTGTAAACAATTAAAAACATTAGCAGGATTGATATAAACACGAGGATTCTAAGGGAATTAAAAAGGATAAATGAGTAAAAAGGACAAATTAAAATATGAAGTAAGAATTTGAAAGAAAAATAAGAAACCATAGAAGAGGAGGGATGGAAGTCGACGAAAACATTACTGGATTTGTGTGTGATTTATTGTTGAATATATATTTATTATTGAATGCTTCTTTATTGTTGAATATTGTAAAATGGAAAAATGGGGTGGGGGATTTAAATAGCATCTTCCAGCTGCAATCTCAAGTAGCAGAAAGGGCTATACTAGGTCAGGCTTCCTCATTCTTCCCAAGTATAGATCAGGCTTTGGGGCAATTCAAGAAGATAGAAGGAAGCACAAGTCTGCTGGATGGCAAGGGGAGAATGCTATTAGTAGCCACTTGCTGTCCTCTTGTCTCTGCTGCCATCCTAATGGCTCTCTACTCACCTTAATTGAAAGAAAACTTCATCATCCACCACTCCAAAGTAATCGTGGAGGCTGGTGACTATTCCAGTAAAAACTCGTTGTTTCTCTCCCCCCTGAAAAGCAAAGGCCCAGGGAAATCACTATAATGACATAATGAAAGGTTACACACTAATCACCAGTGTCACAAATCTGGTCATCTGCATACCCAATCCCCAGGCTCAGTCAACAGGTACAATCATAACAGACTGCAGGTGCGACCTATTCACAAGCCGTCTAATTCACTCTCTGTGTCAGTCACTGGAGTTCTAGACAGTTCACAATATTTCTTAATACTGAGGCCATATCAAGTCCGGGCTACTCTCAAGCTCTTTCATCTGCCAAAGGAGGAATTTGCCATTTATTGATTTCTAAATCCTTTAACACTGGATTCAATATCACTATTGATGTCAAGCAGTAACCAACATTCTTTCAAACTGAACAATTATGTTCCATCCTAATCCAACTGAACCCTGAAAAACTATTCTGTAATATGAGCTTCTTCAGACAACAGCAGGCCCTACATGCGGTAGAGCCTGGAACTCAGGATCAGTATGCCTGTACTAGAGAAAGGAAAGCACTATCGACTTGGGCGCTCAGGCAGAAACTGGGCAAATAGGATATACACCTGTAAAACAGATTACTTACTTCATAGGGCAAAATGCATGTGATCATGAGAGCCACGAAACAAGAGGTTACCAGGCCCACTAACATTTAAAGAAAACCTCAGGAAACCGGGGAATCACAGAAAGGCCCTCATCATAAATTTCTATTCTACCCTACTTCATCAAAGTAGTTACTACAAACACACACCAACTGTGACTTAGAAGAATACTGCCTTCCTCAATAGCAGGTATGGGAAATTTCTGGCTCTCCAGATGTTGCTGAACTACATCTGCCATCATCATTGGCCATGTATGATGGACCTCATGTAGTTGTAGCTCTGCAACAACAGGAGGGCCAAAGGTTCCCCACATCTGCTCTATACTGAGTTATTCAACTGCTCAACTAAATGCCTGTTGCTCTGCAAGGAAGCACTCTTGGGCTCCATGCATCAGCCACAGGACCCAACAGGCTCTCGGAGGTTGCTTGCCCTGCTTCTAAGGAAGAACACAAAAATAAATAGAAGACCACCCCCAGCCAGAGGAAAAGCTGTACAGAGCTTGCTCCCCACTAACTCTCTGCTGGAAAGAATACTGTGCTCCAGCAACTAGTTGCCCTGGGTACTAAAGGGGAGCAAATTCCATTGGTTAGAACCAAAGGCCACATAGTTTAAATGTGGCTTTTTTATTGTGTCACCTGCTGGAAGCTGTCTTGAATACCTTTTCATCAAAAGACAGGAAATAATAATTATTATTATTATTTATTTATTTATTTATTTATACCCCGCCCTCCCCGGCCAGAGCTGGGCTCAGGGCAGCTAACACCAGAAAAATTACAGTAAAAACGTAATGGGGATGGGGACCAATTTAAAATACAGGTTAAAATGCAATTTAAAATGCAGCCTCATTTTAAAAGTAGCCCATAGATCAAAACCATTAAGAGAGGGAATCATAAGGGTCAGACTGAGTCCAAACCAAAGGCCAGGCAGAACAGCTCTGTCTTGCAGGCCCTGCGGAAAGATATCAAGTCCCGCAGGGCCCTAGTCTCTTGTGACAGAGCGTTCCACCAAGTCGGGGCCAGTACTGAAAAGGCCCTGGCCCTAGTTAAGACCAATCTAACCACCTTGCGACTTGGGACCTCCAAAATGTTGTCATCTGTGGACCTTAAGGTCCTCCACAGGGCATACCAGGAGAGGCGGTCCCCTAGGTACGTGGGTCCTAGGCCGCATAGGGCTTTAAAGGTCAAAACCAGCACCTTAAACCTGACTCTGTACTCCACCAGGAGCCAGTGCAGTTGGTAAAGGACTGGATGAATGTGATCCCGTGGCAAGGACCCCGTAAGGAGCCTCGCAGTGGCATTCTGCACCTGCTGGAGTTTCTGGGTCAGCTTCAAGGGCAGCCCTGCATAGAGCGAGTTACAATAATCAAGCCTGGAGGTGACCATTGCATGGATCACTGTGGCCAGATCAGGGCAAGAAAGGAAAGGGACCAACTGCTTAATACGGCAGAGATGTAAAAATGCCACCTTTGCTGTGGCTGCAACATACGTAAATAAAAATAAGAGTCTGCAGTGATAGTCACAAGGTAGACACAGATATGCAGTGTACCTATGCTCCAGCAAAGGCAAACTGTAAACTAGGATGAACAGACTGATCTATGACACTGTGGCAGGGGGACTAATTTAAGAATACCATAGAGATGGCTCTCATCTACAGTTCTGTAACCATCTACAATATATACTTAGTCCTGAAACAATTGAGAAGGAAATGGGAGATACTAATTATCCTAGATCAGTTACGACTACAAGTGAATTTGAAACTCTGTGTCAGGCAGATCCTCGTCAAGGCTACTGTTTTTCTGACCCATTGACACTGCGCAGTATTTCATATGAGTTCTTAAACAGCATGGCTTAACATTTTCTTTATTTCCCCCCCAAATTTCTAGCCTTCCCACTCAACGTGAAGAGCTTCACTGTTGCAATCAGAGTTATGACCACTTACATGACCTTAAGCCAAATTTGATGGTTTGAAGGAAGGCGGCAGTGTGTAAACCCTAACGCACACTTGCTATCTCCAAGGATCTGAAATACATATTTCCAACCCCTCCTCCAATGGCTTTGAGCCAAACTGGCACAGAGCATGCAGCTCTGGTTTCTTTAAATGCAAAGAGTTTGAAGCCAGGTGCCAAAGACATCAGGAGAGCCACACAGACCGTCTTCACCTGACCTCTGGCTGAGATTCCATCCGAGACACATCATAAACCACTTGCTGCCTCTGGAATACATAGCTGCTGGCACATGCCCAGGGAGTTGACTAGAACTGCCTTGAAACTTGTTCATAGAGCTCTCCAGTGGAAGTAGAATCCCTTAACTGTCTTCTCGGGGAAACGAAAAAACACCAGAATCTCACTGACATCTACAAGAAAAAACCAATCATCTCCCACAGACCTGAAGATGGCGTGCCGCCTGAATAATCTCTGCTGAGATAGGAGGATTTAAGAGGCCAGGTGCAGGTCCCAATAAAGAGGCTGGTTGGGTTCCTAGTGAAAAGGAGCAAATAATTTTAAACACTAGAAAATCACTGAATGGTCAGATAGAAGTGCATTTATGTACAATTTCATTCATTAGATAGATGGCACTTAGCAAAAATAATTAATGCATTCATTTCATTACAACCATGAGATTAGCTCCTTACTATTCCCATTAAGATTCAAAAGATTAGAGTAAACAAAGTGTGGTTACAAGGATGGGACTAAAGCACCCTTAGCTAAGAACTGGACAAAAGTAATGCTCATATTTTTGTATGCAGATTTTCTATCAAATACACACACAGAGCACAGAGCATTAACAAAAACCAGTAAAGCAGAAATCTCTTTCCCTCTAAAGAATTTAAAAAACAAACCCATCACATATCCCTCATGAAGAAGGGTTTAAAGAAGCAGCAGAGATACCACCCATCCAGCATGGCCTAAACAACTGCATGGATAGATCAGAGGCAAACTTTACAACATCCTTATCTGACTAACCTGAGAAGGTCCTGGCTCCCTGAAGATTGCTGGCTCTCAGCTGCTTCTGACGCTTGAACTGTGCCATTCTGAAGGGTTCTTTTCTAATGTAATGAGAGAGACACAAGAGTTACAGAGATCCCACATGCAAACCGCGCAATGGATGCGGGGAAAGAGTCGAACCCTTTCAGCTGTCAGAACCACACCGACAAGCCAGCGGTGCTCGGCCACAACTTCCCCCCAGATCTGCAGCTGCTCCGCGACTCACCCTGCCAGGCTTCCACAGCAAGGGGGACACTGCGGCTCTCTCTCCCCCAGACCCGGGTCCCTGCGGTGGCGCCCAGATTCCTATTCAGCAGCAAAGCAGCTCATCTTCGGCTAGAAGAAGAAGAAACAGGCGGAGCTAAGCAGGAGAGAGAACAAAACCCGGACAGGCCAGGGAAGGAAGGGGGGGCGGGGGGGGCGGAGGCGCTGAAACTTTTGGAGAAAGAGCTTCCAGCCGCGGCGGCCTGGCCGGCGGGGTCCTCGCGCCCCCTCCCCAGGGGCCTCGGCGAAGGGCGCGCCCGGGCTTCTCCGCCTCTCCCCTCTCGGCCGGGCGGGCGGGCGGGCGGGCGGGGCGGGGAGGCGCCCACCTGAGGCGGCGCGGGGAAGAAGAAAGGAGCCCGGCGGCGGCGGCGGCGGCGACGCCAGGGACAAAGGGACCCGGAAGCTCCGCCCGGATGTGGCCTCAACAGAAACGCCTCCCGCGCGCCAGCCCCCCCGCCGCGCCTCCCAGGCCCCGGAAGTGCTTCTGCCCGGAGTGAAGCTCCACCCGGAAGTGGTTGGCGGGAGGCGGAAGAGAGGGCGGGGCGCCTCTGGCCCGTCGAGACGCGCGCGGTCGCCTGTGGGCGAGTCTCCCGGGGAGGGGATTCTGGCGGCGGAAGAGGCGCCGCGAGGCCGCCGCCCTCGAGGGGTCCGCGGGCCGCCGCCGCCGCCGCCGCGTGAGGTTCCCCGCAGCGGGCTGCCCTGCAGGGCTGCGCGTGGCCGCGAGAGGAGCTGCGCTGCGCCTCCCACTTTGCATGGGGGGAGGCCCTTCCCCACAGCGGCCCCAGGGTGTTCCCGACTCCCCTCGTCGCGGCCTTGGCAGAGTCCGCCCGGGGCACATGCAGACCCGCTTCCGGTCTGCCTTATAGATTCCTGATCATGTTTCACTTTAATCATTTCTACATCTATTTTTGAAAACTGAAACTGGCAACAGGTGTGTGAAAGTAGTCTAGGCTAGGGCACAAAATAGCCTGGCAACAGCACTATGTACAGTCAAGCGGAAGCATTGTCAAATTATAAATAAGGCTTCACGTGTATCCACACTGCAAGCTGAGTCAGTATTATTATTCCCATACTGCAGACGGAGGGGCTGAGGCTGCGAGAGCGTGGCTTCCCTAAGGCCACCTAGTAAGTTCATGCCACAGACAAGATTCAGACTGGTTGCTTTCTAATTTGTAGCTCAGGGTCTTGGGCCACATTCCTATCATAACTTACCTGGGAATAAGTCCCATCAAACTCAATAGGATTTACTTCTGGATAGACATGTGTAGGATTGCACCAGGGGCAGGCAGACTACAGGTTTGCAGGAACTTGTATTTACTATACCCCAAGATCCACCAACGATTATGTGCATAATTAAGAATTAAACCATTCTGAACCCAGGCATTTGTACGGAGAAACATACGAACTTAGCTCACAGTCCTTCCACACACAAATCCACTCCCGATTACCCCCAGCACACCTTTCCCCGTTTCAACAGTATACTTTGGGTGTCAGGAATCATTTGTTTGCCAACTGGGAGTCAGAAAAGTGCAACCAAAGTGATAAAAGGGATGCAGCAGCTAACCCCCCCATGTTGCAGCATTTGGAACTTCTTAGTTTAGAGAAAAGGCAAGTGAGAGGATATTGCAGAAGTATATAAAATTATGCACAGAATGGGAGAAGTGGGTAAAGTTTTTCTCCTGCTCTCATAACACTAGAACTCCAGTGACATCCAATGAAGCCGAATGTTGGAGAATTCAGGACAGACAAAATAAAGGAATTCTTCACACAGCACACCCCAGGTTTAATCCTCAGGCAGAGCAGGGAGAGAACCCTGCCTGACACCCTGGATAATCGTCACCAGTCAGTAGAGAGATGGATGGATCAATGGCCTGGCTAAGTAAGGCAGCTTCCTATGTTCCCAACCAATTTTACATAATTGCTACAGGGAGGTTACTGTTAAGAATTCCTGCTCCTTGATTGCAGTCATAGGATTGTTGTCTTTCACATGATGGTGTATGTTATGACTCCACTTGGTTCAGCACCCCAGGAGGGAGGGAACATGCCAGTCAGGCATGTGTCTCTGCCAGAGTCCTACTCGAGTGTAGGCTGAACTCTTGACAGTTGTTGTTTAATCGTTTAGTCATGTCCGACTATTCGTGACCCCATGGACCAGAGCACGCCAGGCACTCCTGTCTTCCACTGCCTCCCGCAGTTTGGTCAGACTCATGGTGGTAGCTTCGAGAACACTGTCCAACCATCTTGTCCTCTGTCGTCCCCTTCTCTTTGTGCCCTCCATCTTTCCCAACATCAGGGTCTTTTCCAGGGAGTCTACTTTTCTCATGAGGTGGCCAAAGTATTTGAGCCTAAACTTCAGGATCTGCCCTTCCAGTGAGCACTAAGGGCTGATTTCCTTCAGAATGGATAGGTTTGATCTTCTTGCAGTCCATGGGACTCTCAAGAGTCTCCTCCAGCACCAGAATTCAAAAGCATCAATTCTTCAGCGATCAGCCTTCTTTATGGTCCAGCTCTCACTTCCATACATCACTACTAGGAAAACCATAGCTTTAACTATGCGGACCTTTCTTGACAGTTATGGCCCTTTATTATCTTGATCAAACACCACCAACTCTATATGTTGATGTAACTCAAGACTTCCTTGCTGTTCCTTGCTTTTAACAACGCATCAGAGGGCCACGGACAGAGTCTGTGCAACAAGCACCAGATGTCCAGTGCTCTTCTTTTGTTTGGGACAAAGTCTTTGATCTATCAAGCCAAATCTAACTCTCTGTTCTTCCTCTCCAAGCTGTGCACAGGAGGGCAAATCCAACAAGCCATGTTGTTGATCGTTACATCAAAGGGAAAGCAGTGGGGAGGGAAAAGGAAGAGAAGAAAAGAGTTACGTGCAAAGATCCTTCTCTAGCGAAACCCCAAATTTGGGGGGGGGGGGCGCTTGTTTGCTGCCAACAAATCACAAAGAACTTCAAAATTAAAAGTTTCCTCATTGACTCCTGTTCAAGGCATTCAGCAACTAATAAATTAAATAAATAATAAGGTGGACTTAGGAATTTGCCGTATACAGTAGTACCTCCGGTTACAAACGTAATCCGTTCCTGAGGTCCATTTGTAACCTGAAACAGTTCTTCTTTTTTTTTTCAATTTTTTTTTTTAGTTTTATTAGAATTTTTTTATCTAAAAGTTGTAAATAGGAAAAAACCCAAAATGAAAACAAAATAAAATTAGAGCAAGAGACAGATCATCGGAGGGGAAAGCACTCCTAGACGTAAGAAAAGTGGCAGGAAGTTCCACCTTCCCCTTCTAACTCTAAGTAGATATCTGGATTGAATGTGAGTATCCCTTCACAGGAATAAAGGGGAGGGGGTGGGAGATTTTGACCCTGTGGTGGGTGGGATTTGGATACACCAACCCCACAGGGGGTAGGATATGGAGGGATGGAGAGAGACAGAGAACACGCCCCATTGGTCAAATTAACTAGCGTGATATGGTCCCAGTCTCCCCACTCAAGGAGAAGGAGCGGCAGGGAGGGGGATAAACAGGATATAGATTTGCCAATAATACATTTAATAAATCCACCACAAAATTTTTTAAATGGATTTCATAAAGCATTTGCATCCTCCAGTGACCAGAAAGTCTACTTTATTTTAATTATTATTATTTTTTGCAAAGTCTGGCAAAAAGGTGGGGACAGTTTAACCTTCCAGTGGCCAATAAATGTTTGAGGAAAGTGGGAATGAGATATAGCGGCACACAGAGGAACCACTTCCCAGTCTATGTTCATCTATTCCATGTAGCTCAAGCAGACTATACACCGAAGTGCGAAGAAACCACCGTTCTAGGTCTTCCAGCAACCAGACACAGCAAGGTTTGAAGCACTTCCTATTCTCTGCTTAAATGCTATGGAATGGCACCAAAACCGGAGTTCAAAGATCAGCTGACCAAAAAGTAAAAATATTTTTGTTTAAAAAAAGAGTTAAACCAGGAAGCACCTAAGTGACGCAGAAGCAGAGAACTAGTCCTCCTAACAGTTGCAGATATTCTTTGGTCACTGGTTTCCTCTTTATTTCCAAGTCCAGTTCTCTCCATCTGATACATCCTCTATAAATAATTTCCAGTCGCACTGCAGAAACAGTTCTTAACCTTTTGCTAATGAGGCCTCCTGCTGCCGCTGCGCCACCGGTGCACGACTTCCACTCACATCCCAGGCCAAAGTTCGCAACAAGGGGCATCTACTTCCGGGTTAGCGGAGCTCGTTACCCGAAGCATTCGTAAGGAGGGCGGGATGTAACACAAGGTTCCACTGCACAAGGTCAGGCCATTGGTCCATCTAGCTCAGTATCATCTGCACTGACTGGCAGCAACTCTCCAGGCCAGGTTTTCCAGGCAGGAGTCTTCAAGCCCTGCTTGGTGGGATTCATGGAAGTATCTGTTTGGCTCTGTGGAACACAGTGTGGTGAGCTAGATGGACCCCAAGTCTCATCTAGCAAGGCTCTCCGTATGTTCTCACAACATGCGATGCATGTAGGGAATTCTTCCATACACACCCCATGGAGTTCCTTTCACCCCAGGCTGACGTGGCACAATTCACAGCATTCTGTTGAATTTTCAGATAACTTTCTTCCAACATAATTTCAAAGGCAGAATGTAAAAAAGTCTGCAAATAGTTTTATTTTCCTCACTTTTATATAACTTGTGAATATATCAATTTCCATCTATATACACATACATGCGTGACCATTAGGCCATATAAATATATACAGGGCTCACTCCAAATGTGAAGTTATATAGCTGTATGTGAGCACATACAAAAATATGTGGAGTGTCAATCATTTGTTTCATAAGGAAAATCATAATTAAAGGCAGGGTCAATAAGTTATTTCACATTCTGCCATGCAGGGATTTCCTAGTGAAGACTGGGAGGAGTGAGGTCCTCTCTTCTCCTCAGAGCCATCGTCCTCACCTAGTAACCACGCACATGAGATTTTATGCCCATGCTCCTAATCAATGAGACAGCAGCCTAAAATCTTAGGAGAGTTGGCAATGATGGGAAAGGATCTTTCTAACACGGAATATGGTGATGTTTGGTGGTGTGTATGAGACAGACCTAAAACCTGTGTTCTCCAGAGGGCCAGCCTCAGAGAGATCTGTCCCGAAGACAGTGTATAAAAATAAAAAGAAGGGCAGGCTAAAGAAAATGAGGCTATGTGCCAATGTAAAACTGGCTCTCTGTAGACTGTGGTTTGTAAATAGAGACCCAACACAATACAATATATGTGCTGATACAAATCATGGTTAATTTATACCAGGTCCCCTCCTAACCTTGGTTTACAAAGCCCACGTTGATGCATAGTTTACGTTACTGCACTGGTGCATATGTAATGTGAAAACAATAAAACAGGACAGAAGGGGTAAATTGCAAGAGGAGGAAGCATTTGCTCACAAGGCTGGCTTCGAATTTGCAGACTGTGGCTTGCAGTGAGCAGTTATGTTTCCACTTGGTTGGAAAGGTTTCATAGAAGAGAATCATTTTGCTAGGTGGAGCTTTTGTGTCTCCATTCTTTATCTGAAAGTCTCTTCTCTCTTCCACTGGAGGGGGATTTGAAGCTCACCGTCAAAATGGGTGGAGCATTTCGGCTCCCAACAAGCTCACAGGGAAGGGAAGAACAGTCCATGTGCATGACAGCACTGACTTGGGGGCCCCAGACCTGTCATGCCTCCAAGAGAACCTGTGGCTCACCGCATGGAAAGGTGTTTCGATCTGTGCTTTTTTGCACCCAGAGTGGGGAGGAAACGCCACCTGGGTTGGGATTCTTCTTTGTCCAATATGGTATATGTTCTGTAAGGAAAATAAAAAGGGATGAGGGAGATCTGATAGGAGGCACCCACTCAATAGGTTGCTTGCAACACAGGTTGCTACAATATCCAAATTACCTGGCGTTAGTAAAAGTTTCTTTCCCTGCGCATGAGGCAGCTGGAAATATGAGCTCCACTTTTAACAAACACATTTTCTCAATGTAATATATAAGAGCTGGAAGACTGGGCTCATTCCCAATACCACCACACCAAGTCTGACTGGGGAGTCCCCAGTGGCACACCCCAAAAGTAGCAAAGTGTTGTGTTTTTACTATTTTTTCTTGGGAGCCCAGAGTGGCTGGGCAACTGTTGGGGGTACTTGGTCATTCGTTTTCAGAACAATGTCTTCATGAGTTTCTGCATTTAAGATGAAACTCTGGCTGTGAAGCTGGATTGTTTACACAGGTTCAAAGATAAGACAGTGAAGTCATGGACATGTGCAGTACGTTATGTGAGTGTGACTAAGAGAGACTTTTGGTTTTGATCTGCTGAGAGGATGCAAGCCAATCTGTCGCTGTGGGAATCCACAGCAATCTCTGTAAACAGCAACCATTAAGCTTGATGACAGGCAATAAAGTAATCTGCCTAGAACAATTCTGTGTTGGTCATCAATCAAGACTAGGGGCCAATTTCCTCATGCTTCACTGCAGACTGTATTTCAACTCTGTTAAAGGCCTGGTCAGAAGCGTGCTGGGCAAATAATAATAGTAATAATAAATTTTATGTATATCCCGCCCTCCCCAGCCGAAGCTGGGCTCAGGGCGGCTAACAACAATAAAACAGTATAAAAGTACAGCATAAACAACACTCTAAAATCATTCATTATAAAATTAATTAATTCAAGCCACTGGCAACCATTGGGCCAGAGCTCCGCGAAGATTGCCGAGGGAGGGAGTCAGGCTGTGCCCTGGCCAAAGGCCTGGTAGAACAGCTCTGTCTTGCAGGCCCTGCGGAAAGATGTCAAGTCTCGCAGGGCCCTGGTCTCTTGTGACAGAGTGTTCCACCAGATCGGAGTCACAGCCGAAAAAGCCCTGGACCTAGTTGAGGCCAGCCTAACTTCTCTGTGGCCTGGGACCTTCAAGATGTTTTTATTTGAAGACCGTAAGTTTCTCTGTGGGGCATACCAGGAGAGGCGGTCCCGTAGGTACGAGGGTCCTAGGCCGTATAGGGCTTTAAAGGTTAAAACCAGCACCTTAAACCTGATCCTGTACTCCACCGGGAGCCAGTGCAGCTGGTATAGCACCGGGTGAATGTGATCTCGCAGTGAAGACCTCGTAAGGAGTCTCGCTGCAGCATTCTGCACCCGCTGGAATTTCTGGGTCAGTCTCAAGGGCAGCCCCACGTAGAGCGAGTTACAATAATCCAGTCTGGAGGTGACCGTCGCGTGGATCACAGTGGCTAGGTCAGGGCGAGAGAGGTAAGGAGCCAACTGCTTAGCTTGGCGGAGATGGAAAAATGCCGCCTTTGTTATAGCTGCAATCTGCGCCTCCATGGAAAGGGAGGTGTCGAAGATTACACCCAAACTCTTAACGGACGGTGCTGGCACTAATTGCGCCCCCGCAAGAGATGGGAGTTGCCCCCCCAATCCCATATCGCCCCGTCCCAGCCACAGGACCTCTGTCTTCGAAGGATTTAGCTTCAACCGGCTCCCACAGCTTCCAAACATCTGGTCAGTGTGTCTGGGGCCGAGTCAGGATGGCCATCCATCAACAGATAGAGTTGGGTGTCATCGGCATACTGATGGCAACCCAGCCCAAAACTCCGAACAAGCTGGGCGAGGGGGCGCATAAAGATGTTGAAAAGCATCAGGGAGAGTATCGCACCCTGAGGTACTCCACACACCAAGGAGTGGCGCGATGACAATTCCCCCCCAAGCGCCACCCTCTGTCCCCGACCAGAGAGAACCGAGCGCAGCCATTGAAGGACTGTGCCCTGGATCCCGACGTCGGCAAGGCGGTGGTCCAGAAGTTCGTGATCGACCATGTCGAAAGCTGCTGACAGATCTAGAAGAATCAGCAGCCCCGACCCGCCTCGATCCAGCTGTCTACAAAGATCATCTGTTAGGGCGACCAGAGCCGTCTCGGTCCCATGACCAGCGCGGAAGCCGGACTGGAATGGATCCAGAGCCGATGTTTCATCCAGAAACCCACCAAGCTGTTCAGCAACCGCTCTCTCAATCACCTTACCCAGGAACGGAAGATTCGAAACCGGGCAGTAATTGGATAGATCTAAAGGATCTAATGATGTTTTCTTTAAGAGCGGGCGCACCACTGCCTCCTTCAGGTCCCCTGGGAATGGCCCGACGCCAAGGGACAAATTGATGATATCCCCAGGAGGGCCCGCACCTCGTCTGGACACGCTCTAATCAGCCAAGACGGGCACGGGTCGAGAGGACAGGTGGTGGGCTTTCCAGCTCGGAGGAGTCTGTCCACATCGGCTGGGGATATCCGGTCGAAGTGGTCCAATACTGGACCCGAGGACAGTCGAGGGGCCTCCAGTTCCTTTATTGTATCCAAATTGGCAGGGAGGTCATGGCAGTTTATAGCAGCTATCACGCCATAAACAGCCACAGCAACCCAGTCAGATGAGTGGCATACAATTTTTTTAATCATCATCATCGTCATCTTACCTACACTGACTGCTGCTGGGGGCAGGCTCACCAGATGAGATGGGTTCATTGGCCCGCACAGATTTCCTCGTAATCCTGCTGATCAGCCCTTTGACTTTGCCCCAGTGAGAGTGGTCCTGAGAGAAAGAGGACACAATGTGGAGAGACTGGGTCTATCCCAGGGTACATGACATTTATACCAGCCATAATCCCAACATCGCAGAAATGAAACCAACAGCCAGGAATCTTTGATCCCTTCTTTGCCATTTTACTGTTAGTCCTGTGTCTGCTGCCAAGAGGATTATAGATCACCTGTGGGTGACCTGAGTGCTACCCAGTTGGTGCTGAGCCATGCGACAGTGCCTTTTTGGTGGTGGAACACCTCCTCTCTCACTCTCTCCCTCAAGTGTGCCTTCTGTTAAGTTGTGGGTGAACATATCAGATGACACAGCGATTCTTCAATCAGCTCTTGTTTATTCACAGGCCAGAAGTGAACTGAACTGAAGGGTTCAGCTAGCCTGTTTATATAGAGCTCCACTAGAACGCAACAGTAACCACTTTCTGTAACTATCCAATCACTGAACGTCACTTTCAATCCCTTATTTGCATATGTGGACCTGAGTGAAAACTATCTACAGTATCCCCCTGCTGCCCCAGGGTGAGAACTTCAGTACATTGCACCTTCCCTCATTGTTAACATTATGGGGGAATTTAAAACATCCCTATTTGAAACAATTCAGGAATTTGATTTCTGAAAGATACTGTTCGTGGAAACCTTGAAAGTTTATAAGCTTTGAGGACAAGTTTTTGGAGGTTCTTGTAGTTTGTTGTCTTGGGCTCCTTTAAGAGGAAAGGTGGGAGTGAATAATCATCAGGTCCTAAACCCTATTTATGTAAAAACGTAAGAAGAGTCTGACTGCAGGATCAGACCAAAGTTCCATCTAGTCCTGTTTCCCACAACGGCCGATCAGATGCCTCTTGGGAAGCCCAGGACCCTCCCAATGCTGTTGCTTAGCAACTGGTCCTCAGAGGCCATGAGCCCACATCTGGGCCTTTAACACCTTTTGGAGTTTGTCAAAAAGTGTCTTCTGACCGCATGGTGAGGGCAGACCTCAGAGAACATGGGCTGGTGTCACTTAAGGGCAAACTGACTTGCATTAAAATCTTTTATGTCACCCTGATGTACTTAACTTGACCAAACTCAGGGTAGATCTTTCCATGTTTACAATGAGGGGGATTGTTGCCCTTCCAACCACCTTCCCCCTGCTCCCCAGCAAAATTTAGCTCCAATTTATTTTAAACTTCCAACTTATGAAAACAATATACTATGGCAGTGTACAAAAAAATCATCAAAATAATTATAACATTTAATAAACAAAAACAAATGACCAACACTGAATCAAACTGATTTTCTAAAAATGCTTGGCAATGAAATATCAGATGTGTAGCTGAAATCAGACACCTAATTTTGAAAGGAATGTCATTCCAAATTACTGGCACCACTAGCCTTCGTTCACACATAAACTAAATGAATGTGAGGTGGGGAGGTCAAGAAGACTTCTCCAGAAGACCACCATGAACTGGCTGGTGTGTAAGGCTTATGGGGGCTCCTCTTCCTCTGAAAGATGCATGGAAGGGCAAGAACAGCAACTGCTTTCCACAGTTCGGGGGGGGGGGAATGGCATGTGCTAGTCATCCATTTTTCAAAGGAAGGTGGTGGAAACCCTCATGATAAACTCTTCCTGATTTTTTTTTAAGAATGGAACTATGGAATAGTGTTCCCCACCTTCTCATAGAACAAGTTACCATAGAATATGATTGTAATTTATTCTTACAAAAAAAAAATTCTACCATAGTACTCAAAAGTACTGTACAACGAAGTTTTTTAAGTAAAATGATGTAGCCTTGCTTATATTATTTCTGACATTTTTATCTTGTCTTGGAGGAGCTCAAGGTGGGAGACATGGTCCTCTCTCTCCCCCCCCCCCCTGCAATTTTTAAATTTAGGTCTCAATCCTGTGAGGTAGATTAAGCCAATCACACATACATGTAAGTGGCTCAAGATCGCCCAGTGAATTTCATGGCTGAGTGAGGATTCAAACTGAGGTCTCCCCAGTGGAAATTCAGCACTCTAACCCAGAGACAGCCAACACAATGCCTTCCAGATGTTGCTGGACTACATCACCCATCCTACCCCTGACCCTGACCCTGACCCTGGGGCTGATGGAGTCAGAGAGTCCACCAACATCTGGAGGGCACCACCCTGGCTACCCACGCTCTAGAGTCTAGACACTATACCACACTGCCTCTTTGTGCCATCAGTCACACCTCTCCAGATTTAATTCAAATCCTACACATGGCAAGTTTTTTTATTCCCCCCCTCCCCATGGAACATGGCAGACCTACCTTGAGCTTCATGCCTGGTGGCAAGGTGTGTGAGCCCCCATCTAGCTGATCCAGCAAACTGGGAGAACTGGCAGAGTGGGCTGTTGACTTCTGAGGGCAACCATCCTTGTTCCCTATGGCAGCAGAAGTGTATGTTAGCCCAACACAATCAAATCATAAGAACATAAGAATAGCCCTGCTGGATCTGACCATCTGACCAAAGGCCCATCTAGTCCAGCATCCTGTTTTTAATTTATTTATTACATTTATATCCCCACCTTTCCTCCAAGGAGCTCAAGGTAGCAGATATGGTTCTCTTCCTTCTCATTTTAGCCTCACAGCGGCCCTGTGAGGGAGGTTAGGCCGAGAGACTAGGAGTAGCTTATGGTCATCCAGTGAGGTACATCCAATGGTCCAACCCTCTAATCCAGGGGTTGTCAACCTGGTCCCTACCGCCCACTAGTGGGCGCTTCAGGATTCTAGGTGGACGGTAGTAGGTTCTACGGCCCAAGCTGAATCCTCCATCCATCGAGCACCGGTGGGCAGTAAGGAAATTTTACCATCAAGAAAGATGCATTAGTGGGCAGTAGGTATAAAAAGGTTGACTACCCCTGCTCTAACCACTACATCACACTGGAACATAATTTAACAGTGAAGAGAGCACTTCATGAACCCAGTGTGCTAAAAGGACTGCCTGAATCAAGGCTCAGTCTCATTTGAGAATGTGTTTAATCAGAAGGTGGAATCTTGTTTCCTTCTGGCTTTTCAGCTTGTTGCCAATTTGCCTCCATGTCTAAATTCATTATATTTTCTCAGATAGACATCTCCCAAGAGCCTGTTCTGAATGTAACACCTAAAGAGCTCCACTCATTTTTGTTCTTGATGACAGTTCTAAACGTCGTACAGTGTGACAGATCACTTTTCTTATGTGTGTTAAAATTTCCAATAAAAAAAACCTGAAGGACCTGGAAATCTGTTTATACTTATTCTACTGATCTGAATAAGTTAATTGCAACTTTGAAGCTACCCAGCTCAACTGGTATTATATCCCTTTGCTACGTTGACGAATTTTATGAAGCAATGCATTTTTAGGAACAGAAACAACTTCACACACACAAAAAGGTAGCAACAGAAAATTTCTTGGAATTTTCTGAGAAGTTTCTGCTCCACCACATCACAACTTTCAATCTTTTTCAAACAAATAGTTTCAAACAACCTAGTTTCAAAATGATAGTTCAGTGTTATCAAACTCCAGCTGTAAATTACCTCAGATTAATAAGAATTAATAAGGGATGCGGGTGGCGCTGTGGTCTAAACCTTGCTGATCAGAAGGTCGGCGGTTCGTATCCCCGTGACGGGGTGAGCTCCCGTTGCTCAGTCCCAGCTTCTGCCAACCTAGCAGTTCGAAAGCACATCAAAGTGCAAGTAGATAAATAGGTACCGCTCTGGCGGGAAGGTAAATGGTGTTTCCATGTGCTGCTCTGGTTCGCCAGAAGTAGCTATACGCCAGCTCCCTCGGCCAGTAAAGCAAGATGAGCGCCGCAACCCCAGAGTCGTTCACGACTGGACCTAACGGTCAGGGGTCCCTTTACCTTTCATAAGAAGTACTTAACATATATCCACAAGAGAAAAAAGTGACTACCAATGTTGGTAGTCTTATGTTAAAGCCCTGACCTTTTCATAACTTATTTAAAAAGCTATCAACAATATTCTCAGAAAACAACTGAACCTGGATCCAGAATGTTTTGTTAACATTTCTAAAAGGGAAAAGGGTCTAAAGATAAGAATCCTATATGTCATGTGATCACAGTGGATGAGTATGTTGCCTCAGTACTGGAAACGTTTGCATGCTCTGGCTAAGATACTCTAGTACTCGGGATCAGGGCCAATGGCTTGCCTTCAAACCAAGAGTCAAGAGCTCACCCAGGCTACGAGCTGGGCTCCGTAGCGCCCGTGTGTCCGAGGCAGAGCGGGCCCGGAAGTGGTGGGGGTGCCAGGAGTCAGCCGACTTGAGATGCTCCTCTTCTGCCACCTTCTCCATGGTTGCTGGACCCTCAGCCTGCATTTCAAGTGTCATCAGCCCAGGGCCATCTGGCACATCTTCAGAAAAGCCTTCCTGTCAGACAAAATGGTACCAGAGTTGAAGAAAAACCATTCTAGAAACACGTCTGGGGGACATATTTCAGGTTCAACAGTTGAAATGGGGCTAAGATTAATGAATGTGGAGATTAGTGATCCCAGGACTATGGATCCAATTGCAAAAGAGCCAGTCTGGTTAGAGTGCATAGCTATGACCTGTGAGAACAAATCCCCTACAGGCACAAAGCTTGCCAAGTGCCCCTGGGCTGCCTCTCAGCCTACCTCCCAGGGTCGTTGGAGGGGGGGAATGTTGCTCTCTGCTTCTTATGTGTGATTTGAAAGGAAGTAATGAAATAAAATGAGCCCTTTCGGTTCACAGAGTGTGTTTGTGAATACTGCTGATTGGTGATGTTGGTTTTCAATATGCATAGGGTAATTTGCATTACAAAATTTTCAGTTAAGCATCAGAAGATGTTGTGAGATAATAGAAAAAGATCTAATTTTTATTTGCTTGTATTTGGTTTAAAAAAAAAAAGTCCACTACCAAACTTGCCTAATACTGTATTTGCAATTGGCTCCTGTTCATTCTTGCTAATGAATGTATGAAACTAAAATTTTCCACAGAAAAATAAAGCACTAAAAAATGTCTGCCCCACATACTGCTGCTGGCCCACTGATGAGTCAAGTCCAACACATGAAAGCAGCTCATCTTTTTGGCAAACGAAATTAATGGACTATGCCGAGCTGGCGAGATTAACAGGGAAAATTCAAAACCAGCAGGACCAGATTTTCTGAAGGACTGGAAGAAATTTATGTTATATTTGAAAGACAACTGTAATTATTTAACATCACTAGTAGGGTTACAGAAGTTTTGTAGGGAGGATTTTATAAATTATTGTGAAGATGACTGAGATATGGATGTAAGATTTGAATTATAGCAATAAGTATAGTAATACAATTCAGAATGAGAACGGAATTTAGAAAACTATTAGAAGGGGTTGAAGGAAGTCTCAGGTGATAATAGCCAAAGATTTGCTATGTTGTTTGTAAGTTGTTATGTTGGAAAATATGTGCAAAAAGTAATAAAACTTAGATTAAAAGGAAGAAAGGAGCTCATCTCTGCCCACCACCACTTCCTGCCCCCAATGTCCGAACTGCCATCTCCTTCCTGCAACAAATTTACTCAAAATCACCATGAACTTGTTTCAATAACCCTCTAATAAACAGCCCTCAGCCCTTTCTCTCACGTTCTCAGATTCCTGGACCCGCACCCGGCACTCCATAATCTGCTGCTGATGCTGAAGTCGAAGGTTGGCCTGCTGCAGGTGGGCGATCTTCTCCAGCATCTGGCAAATGTGCTCCAAGTACCGTAAGCCCTGTCCAGGCATGGTCAGCAAAGTCTCGTGCACCTAAGAAAGGAGCCAGCATGGGCCATCAGGGATATGAGCTCACTTGCACATCCCGTACACAGCAGACAGCAAACAGCCCCAGAGAGAAGCAGTCTAAAGCGGAGGAGGAGGCAAGCAGCTCCTGAAACAGCCCTGCAGCATTGTGCCAAAGGCTCATCTCCCAGTGGCTGAGCAGATGCCCATGGGAAGCCTGCAAGCAGGACCTGGGCTAACAGCCCCCCCCCTGCCCCGCTTGTGATTCCCAGCATCTGATATTCAGGGGAATACTGCCTTCAATAGCAGAAGCAGAAGATCGCTCTCATGAGTCACTGATATCCATATCCTCCATTAATGGGTCTCATCCTCTTTTGAATCCATCCAAGTTGCATCCAAGTTCCATAGTTTAACTATGCACTGTATGAAGAAATACTTATTTTTGTCAGTCCTGGACCTTTCACCTAAGTTGAGTTAGTCATTATGAGCGGGGAAGGGGAAAGAAATATAGGATTTCCAAGATCTGCCTTAAGGAAACAGATGGTGCTGGCTCTGAACAGTTTGTGGTATCAAAATTTCACATTTATTACACCAGGATGGATTTCAGTGCAGACACTGAACTCACTTGGGAATGTAACTGGAAACATCTCTAAGCAAAGGGCATCAGATGTAGGAGCACAAACTGGCGTGGCCTGTCTTTTCATCCAAACTATTCAACATTGCTTAGCAAGACCAAAACCCCAGTGTCAAATATGAAAAATAGCTGTCATTTCCCACAATACAGTGGTACCTCGGGTTAAGAACTCGGGTTAATTCGTTCTGGAGGTCTGTTCTTAACCTGAAAGCACCACTTTAGCTAATGGGGCCTCCTGCTGCCGCCATGCTGCTGCTGTGCGATTTCTGTTCTCATCCTGAAGCAAAGTTCTTAACCCGAGGTACTATTTCTGGGTTAGTGGTGTCTGTAACCTGAAGCCTATGTAACCCGAGGTAACACTGTACAAAAAAGCTTGTGCCTGACTGTTTTTGAACAGATGGATTCAATAGCTGAACTAGGGAAGAGCTTTATGGGTGCAAGAGTCCAAGTTGGCTTATGTGAGGCAGCCATGCTAGAGGATTGGTTTCTGGAATGCCAGCTTTATTCTGATACAGTGGTGCCTCGCAAGACGAAATTAATTCGTTCCGCGAGTTTTGTCGTCTTGCGATTTTTTTCGTCTTGCGAAGCACGGTGTCGGGAAAGTTTTGGAAAAGCTTCAAAAATCACCAAAGTCTTTAAAAACCTCAAAAAAGGCTACCACACCGCGTTCTATGAGTTGCTCCTCGAAGTCAAGTCGCAACTGTATTAACGGTGTTAAGAAAAAGGAAACAAAGTTGCAAGACGTTTCCGTCTTGCGAAGCAAGCCCATAGGGAAAATCGTCTTGCGAAGCAGCTCAAAAAACAAAAAACCCTTTCGTCTAGCGAGTTTTTTGTCTTGCGAGGCATTCGTCTTGCGAGGTACCACTGTATTAGGGAACAACAACAACCACACAGATACATAAACCACTGTTTGCATACTCTAACATGCAGTTTAGATGTATTTTACTTTGTTCTCTTTTGATATGGTCTATGGACTAATTCAGTAACTTTTATGTATGTATGCATCTAGCTCAAACTCAGGTGAATCAAGACTGGAAGGCCAAGTAAGTTCTCAAGTGTCCCAGCACCTTCCTCCTAAAAACCGGGTCAGGAAAAAGCAGCTTGTGCGCGTTATGTTATGTCATTAGAGGGCAAGGACCTTGCCACATTCCAGCAAGAGGCAATTAGGCAAGGTATCATCATCAGGTGGAATGGAGAGCATTTCCCATACGAAACTGCCCCACCTAGCTAGTGGGAGGAGAGACTGGGATACAGCAGGAGAGGATGCAAGCTATCCCACAATCCTGGGTCACTAAAACTCTGCCAGCCAGTCATCAAAGCCGCCTTTCCAGCCATCTATCGACCTGTTTCCCAGCACACGGCTATTCCTTCTCCAAACAGGAGACCAGCTTGGCAGAAATAAAAACCCACTGCAAAGGAACCTAGAAAAGAGCAGCTTTTGGCCAAACCATGCTTAAAACTGGAAAACCTGCTGCAAAGGATCCTGGGAAAGAGGACCTGTGCTTGGCTTGGCTTAAAACAGCAGAGTTTCTCCCCACTTACCTGTCCTTGTGGGCTCCATTCCTCTGGGGTGCTGTTGCCAGACAACATAGGAATCAATTCCCCTGCAGCAGCATCCACATTCTCGTCGACGCTTGCTGCCTGGTGCAAACGATAGGAATTCAGGCTCTCCAAGTCCACTGGGCTACGGGGCCTCTGACCCAGCCGCCCGGGCGATCGGCGAGGCAGCTGGTGCTTCTGAGACCGCTGGACCACCTGGGCCAACTTCTTGCTGGCAGAGAGATTCCGGCAGTAGGCACGATCCTGGATGGGACCCAGGTCCTCCTGCTCTTCACCTTTGGGGAAGCCTTGGCAGGGAGCTGCAGAAAGTGGTGGAGAGTCTTCCATCGAAGGCTGGAAGCCATCAAGACAGTCCAAAGAGAAGCTTTTCTCTGAGCCCTCCGGGCTGGAGGGAGAGTGATCGTTGCTGGTCATTTCAACACCAGAATCTTCCGATTCAGATTTGAGGAACCTCCCGCTGATAGGCAAGAAGCCTAGCTGGTGGGGAATGGGTTCTGTTAGGGAGCCAGCCTCACCCAATCGATCCACCCGGCTGTTTTTCTTGCCATCCAGCTCCATGTCAAGGGGGCACTGGAGTTGAGGTTCCTGTAGACTCTGAAACATGCTGACTGAGGTCAACACCACGCAGTTCTCTCTGGGGCTCCAGGCACTAGCTGAAATTTAGAAGGGAAGCAGACATTGTTGAGACAGAGGCCAAGCCTGCTCCACAGATCATGAAAAGCCCAACACCTGGATCCAGGTAAATATAGTGCCTTCCCAACAGATAACTCCGCCCTGGCCACTCTCCTCCCCCCAAAGCTCCTTTGGACGAGGAAATGTGTGTGCTTGCAACATATGCATTCCAAGAATATTCCTCATGCACCTGAATCATGCTGGCCTTTGCTTCAGACAAGGCGTGGCAGAGAAGGAGGAGCTGAAGACGGTGCTAAGGAAATAAATCTTGGGGGAATAGCTTCGGCACAAGTATTATTGCACATGGACCATGAATGGTGTGTGCCACCCTACTGCCAAGACTTGCCCACCTGTCTTCAGTCTCTCAATCGGTCTGTTCAAAAAATTATGTAACTGGGGCTACAAGAGAGGTCTTGTGCAAACTTTTGTGGCCCCAGCAACTTTCACACATTCTGCTTAATTTGATGGCAGGGTTCTTGCTGTTAGCCTGTAGAAGAAGGGGTGGACAATCTATAGCAGGGGTCGGCAACCTGCGGCCCATGGGGGCAGTTTAACTAGCTCATGAGCCGCCCCCAAACCGAGTTGCCCACTCAGAGTCATCACACGCACGCAATCCAGCCCACGGAGAGATCTCTGCGGGACTTGACTGGCCCAGGCAGACCAACACCTTGCTGACCCCTGATCTATGGCCTCTGCCTAATTTCCCATGAGAGTGGGGAGAGCCCAGAGGGAGAAAAAAAAATCACACTGTGTGCAAAAGAGGTTATATAAAACAAATACTAAGCAGTTAGACAACACTTTCAGAGCGTGTTTACAGCCAGCTCACAGGCATTGTTTCAGTAATCTTTTCAAACAGCCCTCTAAGGTAGACCAATATTATCTATAATTATTGTACCAAGGAGGCCTAGAGAACTCAGCTCACCTAAGGTTATCCAACAAGCTCTTAGTAAATGGAGACATCTGAACCGGAGGCGTCCCAGTTCACAGACTATTCCTTTTTACAATATGCTGGTGACACTCAGCTCTGCTTCTCATTATCTAAATTGGAGAGACCAGTTTCTGGATGCCGCGGTGGGATGGATACGGGGAAATAAATTTTGCTTGAATTCTGGCAAGTGGTTCTCTTTCCCAATAAATTGGTCCATTGCCTGAGTGGATGGGGGTGACGAACACCCTCTGAAGCAGCAGATACACAGCTTTGGGGTGGCTCCTGGGTCCAGCTGTGTCACTGGAGCCCCAAGTGAACTGCTCTGAGTTACTACGGATTCAATTAATCCTCCTCCTCATCACGGCGAGGAGTGCCTTTAGCAGACTTCTGCTGCTAAGACAACTGTGCCTGTTCCTGGATTGGAACCACTTAACAGGCACTGCGCTTGGTCCAGAAACTGCAGTTAGTGTAAAATGCTGCAGCATATTAGCTAAACAGGAGAGAGTCTCTTTGTGCCTGCACTCCAAGATCTGCCCGTTTGCTACCAGACTGAGTTCAAGGTGCTATTATTGCATCAAGGCCTTGCCCCAGATGTACCAACTCAATCACTTCATTACCTGCAGAACTGGCACTTCTATAAGAGCCACAAAACATCTGTTCTGCGCTTGTAAGTTGTTCCTTTAGTGTGGGATCACCTGCATTGCATCAGGCAGGTACCATCACTGAAACCTTTTAGACATCCGCTGAAAACTGTTCTGTTTCGGCAAGCCTAACCAGACATATGATTTGGTTGCATCTGTTCTTGGGTTTTTTAACTGTTTTAAAATGTTTTAAGTATGTTTTTTCTTAACTCTATTTTTTGTTAAAGAAGTGTTTGTCACCCTGGACTCCTCTGGAGGTAGGGCAGGTTAAAAGTTTCAAAAGCAAATACTCCTGTGAACATGCTACGGCCTTCCATGCCTCCTTTAGCCCTGCTGATGCTGCAGTGAGCCCTGGGAGATGCAGAGCACCTGAGAGACAGGTGCCTCGTCCCTCCCCCAGCACCATCTCCACCCCCAATACAGCTACTCTACTGTGGCCGGCAGGACGCCCGAGGAGGGTGGGCAAAAAGGCCAGCAAAGAAGGAAATGCAATCTGTCTCCTGGAATTAGTGGAGGCATTGCAGGATCTTTAGGTTGCAATCTGGCAAACAGGTAAAGTTGGCATTTCAGTGGTACCAGGCACCTGCAAGAATTCTCTCTTCTGTGTAAACCACTTGGTAGGGTATTTTGGGTTTATCCAATGCTAATTCTATTCAAGAGTTGAAATTAATGAACCTATGTTATACATGTCCATTAATGTCAATGGATTTACTCTGAGTAGGAACCCCACTGAATACAATCCTTTCTGTTTCAGAACTAACTGATTAGTTTAATTTCTATTCCTCCTTTCCTGGAGACAGTGCTCTCCCTGACCAAAATAAAATCCTCAGCCGCCCTACTCCTAGCCTCCCTTCTAGGCACTGACCAGACCCAGACCTGCTTAACTTCAGGAAGGTGATTGCATTGCAGTTAAACAAGTTATGTTAATTGCATCATTGGAATGTTTGCTTCTGAGCTGCAGCTTCAGAAACAGGAGTTTCCTCCATCCATGCATGCAATTTAAGCCAAAAAAGGTAATTCCTAAGCCTTTGTGTTTACAATAACATTGATGGTTTTTATTTTTAGAATCATATAATCATAGAATCATAGAGTTGGAAGAGACCACAAGGGCCATTGAGTCCAACCCCCTGCCAAGCAGGAAACACCATCAGAGCACTCCTGACATATGGTTGTCAAGCCTCTGCTTAAAGACCTCCAAAGAAGGAGACTCCACCACACTCCTTGGCAGCAAATTCCACTGTCGAACAGCTCTTACTGTTTTTGACTCCCTTTACTGACTAGCACAAAGATAACTCTGGAGGTATCTCTTAACACTTGGATTAAATAAATACCAAAGAATTTATATTTCATAAATACAGCGAACAGAAATGTGGTAACTGCTAAGATACACCTGCATGTCAAATAAAGTTTAGGTTTTATAAGTCAGGATTGCATTTTTTTTTAATTTCCCCAAATTTCCATTTTTAACATTTATAGCATAGAATGAAATATATGCAGCACAAAAAGGAAAAACCGAGGGATAACAACTGTGAAAAAACGTGGTGGAAAATCTTTTTTTAGCCCAAGGACCAGGCAACCTTCTGCGGGCCACACAGTGATGGCAGAGAGCCTGGACCAGAGGCAAAAGCAGACAGGATAAAGAAAGTCAACTTCCCATAGCACAAGAGGCTCGTTTCTATACATACCCTTCTCTATCCACCATCCAGACAAGAAAGAGGCACCATCAGAGTTCAATAACACATTCTAGCCAAGAAAACATACTCAAAAAGGGTATGATCCACAGCAGTTCCTGGACCAGGATAGCTTGGCCTTGGTAAACCATCCTAGCGACTTCCTGTCTGGACTGCTGCAATGCATTCCACATAGGGCTACCCTTGAAGATGGCCTTGAAGCTGAAGTTAGTGCAGAATGCAGCCGCCAGGTTGGAGGGTGGGGCAATTCAGAGGGACCATGTGTTAGCAGTCCTGGAAGTGTGGCACTGGATGCCAGTGAACTACTGGGCCCCATCCAAGGTGCTAGTGCTAGCATACAAAGTTGTAAACAGCCCAGGACCCAAGGATCTAAGGGACAGGCCTTACAACTGAAAGGAGAGATCCTGTTATGATTCCGCTGCTGGGTGCTGCTCTGCTGGCACTGACCCATAACACAGCCATGTTACTTTCTTGGTAGCAGTCCCTGCTTATGGAATGTAATATATGAATATGAGTTGTGGGGATATTTGGTTTGCTTTCAGAAGTTCCCAGAATTCATTTTATATTGCATTGTTTTTATCATTTTGCTGTCTGCTGCTGTGGGCTCCTTTAGGATGGGAGAAAAATAAAGTAAATAACTCCTGATTCCCTCTGCCAATCAAAACTTTAATTTCAGATGCCTAATTTAGAAGAGAAAAGACAGTCTTTTTGTTGTGTTGCTGAAAAAGTGGGAGCCTACTGCAGATGGTCTGTCTGCTTTCCATTCTGCATGAGGCCTCCCCATTCCCTCTCCTTGCATTCCAGACCAGTGGGGGGACACTTGAGTCAAAGTCATTATGACTTCTACCGCACTGTTAGTACTAGTACTGTGCCATTCTTATCTAAATGAGCCACACAACAAGCTAGGCATTCCCAACAAGGAATCCTACATTTAATTTATTGAATTTTTATTGCACTAGCCAAAAACCACGGCAACATCCAAAGAAGGAAAAGGAAAGGAAAACAAAAACAAAACAATCAAAAAACACAGCAGTTGCTACATATGCAGTAAAACCAACGTCAAATCCACCAAAATTTCTTATTACACAGAATAAAAGGTAATTCTCAAATAAAATGTGCATATTAGATCTCAGAGCCCCCTTTGCAATTGACCACTAGCCCATCCACTTCTTTCCTCCTAATCCTCCTACCAGTGGCCGGGGTATAGAGAGCCTCCTTAGAAGTCCCAGAGTCATCAGTATCACTCAGCAGCCACTTCACCCTCTTCGCCCCGGTTAGACTAGTTTCCAACAAAGAATCCGGAATCAGGGGCCCAGTGTCTAGAAACACAGGATCACTCCCTTGACTCTAGAAGCCTCTCTCGACTGGAACAAAGTGGCCTCAAACATGCAGGGTGAATCAGATGCGGTAGGGGAGGAAAAGGAGCCCTTTTTTGGATGGGGGTGGAGGCACTTTGGCAGTCTGGCACAGGAATTTAGATTTCTGCATCCAACTCACATTCTGTAAATAGAAATCAATTGAGTAAGATAATGAGCCAGAACCTATTCAAAGAATGTGTTGCTTTTGTCCACTGCGTCCACGGGAGAGGAGTTTTTAGAGGACAGGATGTTTGAGCCAAGCTCTGGAATTATTAGAATTACAGCGCTAACTGTACATGGCAGAAGTAAAAAATAATAATAATGGGGACCACAGAGCCCTATCCTCCAAAAGACAATGTGGCATAGAATTCTGAAGGCTGCAACTGATTCCAGAATAAATACGTTGGAAGTTGTTTTGGCCAGGTCCATGACTTGTGTGTTAATGGGGGAGGGATTGGATTTTGGCAGTGCTCAGGAGCAATCTCCCCTTTTGCCTAGAAGCTGGCATGGACGTTAAAATGCTTAAGTTAAGACCTCAGTCTCAGGTGACATCTCTATAGCAAGCACTCGTGCATCTACACCACCAGCACAGGTGAGCACAGACGCCATCACTGTCTGTTTTTAGGTGCCAGGCAAAAACATCCTCTTTCTACCCAGGCTTAGGGTTTTTAATTGGAAAGGTAGTTCCTTGTTATGCCCATCTTTTAAGTGGGGAGTGGCCCAGGTAGAGTACAGAATAGGACTTGCTCCTTTAAAATATTGTCAGATGAGCATTTCAGTTTTTGTGCGTTGCTGCTTTCATCTGACTTTATTGTTTTATTTTATTGTGTAAGTCACTCTGAGGCACTTGAATGCAAAAAAGGAACAATCTGATTTTCTGAGAAAACGAAGTCATTCTGCAACAATGCCAGTTAAGTATTCCTTCCCCATCCATGTGCACCAAGAGCTAATTCTGCATGCAACAACCTTCCTCTGGACTGCCCAGACCCATCAGATGCAAGACCACAGGCAGAACGAATGGCCAGGGCTCGACCCACACCATTCCCAAGTACTGGCAGAAGGTGGGGGACACAGAAGAGAAACAAGGGGCCCATTTGTGTTCATCCCAGACTTGCCAAAGAGCCAAATTCCTTCACTAACTGAAACAATCATATTATTTGTTTAAACCACAGTTTCCTAAATTGACCCCATGGGGGTCAGTGGGATTTTGCAGGGGGTGGGTGGAAAATAAGTTTATGAGATATACTGCAAGAAACACAAAAATAATTAGGAACTTCAAGCTGCAGAAATAAAGGGCACTGGGCATGTACAGAACGCACATCCCTTGCCAGCGAGGAACCTCTGTATTTAACAATATGATTCCACAGTCCAGCAGCATTCCATATTTTTAAATTGTTATGAATTCCAGTAAGGGAGACTGAGGAATAAATGTTGATTATATAGTCATACTTACACTGCTAACAATTTGGGTTGGAGTCAAGGACAGCTGTACTAGCTCATCAGGGGAGTCAATGAACTCACACCTTTGGGAAACCCGGATTTAAACCCTTCCTCCTCCACTGCCTCTTCTGTCGGGACCCAGGTCTGCCCTCTGGTACTCTGCCCGGCACCTGGTGCCCCACCCCCACTATATAAGCAAACAAATAAACAACATTGCATCGTGGAGGCAGTGGTAGGATCCTATGTAATGGCTGCTCCTCCTATCCAACTCACTCTCCCTCCCCCCAGACAAGCAGAGCCCAATAACGAAGATCCATCATTATTTCTCCCTCTCTTTTTCTGGCATCCTGAGAACATAAACACAAGCATATCTCCGTCTTTCATCAGCCTGGCTGGACTTTGCAGTTCCACTGAAGTGTGGAAGAATGTGCAGCCCCAAGAGGGCCCTGCAGGGAAACAGCAGAGCTGTTTGCGGAGGATCTGCCATCACCTTGCAATCTAAAGCAATCATTTCAACCAGCGAAACCAGCACAGCTCCGTCAAGAGCTGTCAGCCCCACTGGTCCTGCTACAGAGACCTCCACTCTCTTGAGCCAGCCAAATGCTTAAGGTAGAAGGGTGGGGTGGGGAGGGGGGAGAAGCAGGAGGAGGAACAGGTACTGGAAGAAATGAGAGATGAGCCGTTTGATCTACATGGTCTGAAGTCTCTCCAGGTGGAATGGATCCAAACCTTCACCTTCTCTCCTTCCAACTGTACCTATTTAGTAATACCAGTACCTGCTTTCTGAATAACAGTATTGGCAACTTGTGAGTAATGAAACCAAACTACACTGATCCAGGAGGAAATTACATTAAACTTAAAAAGATTTGGGCTCCCACTTGTTCTGCATCCAGTGAGCTGTTTGGAAAGCAGTGCAAACTCAACAATATCCTGTGTTTCTTACTGCTTCCCAACCCCGTCTAGCTGTGCTTAAAGCCAGTCATGGGACTGCTGCCTTACTTCCAATATTTGGGAAATGGGGTTGCTGAGTTTTGAAATTTGAAAAAGTGCACCGAGTTTTGAAATTTGCTACAGGGAAATGCGACGTTTCTAAAAATGTGCTTGGGAAGCAGAACCTTGCATTAACAAGGATAGTTGGTGGACTCCCACTCCCATCACCACAGATAGCTCAGCCGATAGAGCATAAGAGTCAGGGTTGTCGGTTTGAGCTGCACACCAGGCAAAAAATTCCAGCATTACAAGGGGTTGAGCTAGATGACCCTCGTGGACCCTTCCAACTTTATGATTGTCTGATCTGATTCAATATAGGATGGCGATGGGAGTTGTAGCCCAGCTACATCTGAAGAATCCGTTGCTCTGTCCCTGCTCCCGCCAACCTAGCAGTTCGAAAGCACGTCAAAGTGCAAGTAAACAAATAGGTACTGCTCTGGTGCGAAGGTAAACGACGTTTCCGTGCACTGCTCTGGTTCGCCAGAAGCGGCTTAGTCATGCTGGCCACATGACCCGGAAGCTGTCTGCAGACAAACGCTGGCTCCCTCAGCCAGTAAAGCGAGATGAGTGCAGTAACCCCAGAGTCAGTCACGACTGGACCTAATGGTCAGGGGTCCCTTTACCTTTTTTACATCTGAAGAGTCACAAGTTCTCCATCCCTGTTGGGACAAAATTATGGGCCAGTTCACACGAGTCAGTGTGGCATAGTGGTTAGACTGGGACTGAGGAAACCTAGGATCAAATGCCACCTCAGACGTGAAGGCACTGGCTGGCAAAAGGCTACTCACCATACCTCACTGTGTTGTAGTGAGAATGAAATTGAAGAGCCGTGTATTCCACCTTAAACTACTAGGTGGAAATACCGGTAATTGTTCATGATGAGAATATGCATAGATAGCAGGCCCAGGGCCTAGTCCAGCTTTACAGCAGATGGGTTCTGTCTCACAGAAACATTGCTAGGTCTAATGTACTATTTTTCCATTCCTTGTAATGTATAATTCTTATCTGCAGACTGCAAAGAACTGGGACACTTAAGTTGGGTAGCCAATAATGGGAGCAGATAAAGAAATAGAAGGCCCACACTATCTGCCTTTTCAACTGAAGACATTTTGTTCTAATGAGCTTTCCCATCCCAGCAGAATGAATGAATCTTCGCCATCAATCTATTCTGTACAGCTTTTGTTTTGTTTAGTTTTGACTACGTATATCTTCTGTCTTTGTGTTTTGTTGTTTTTATTGTACATCACCTTGAGACTATCGTTCACAACAATGGCCATGGATCACGAAAGTCTCTGATCTGAGCTTTTGCCAATGGCTGACCACAAGCTTTTCTCTACAGCCGTGAGGACTAGAAACTTATATCAAAGTCAAGTTTCCAAATGTTGTGCAAGACACAATATTCCACACTTCCATAATAAACTGGGACACATACCTGCAAACACCCAAGTCCTTTTCACAGAGCAACAGTTCAAATGCTCCACAAATCTCACTGTTGCTCAACCAGCTGAATTTCTGAATATGAATCTGTCATTTATGGCAAAGTGAGCAAAGCTAATGGTTCAGCTCTGCTCATGGTTGAGCACAGAGAAACCAGGTCTGAAATGTAGTTCTGCAAACTGGACAAGAAAGTAAATCTGCCACATTTAGTACACATTCAGACTTACTTCTCAGTAAACAAATAAATGAGCAACCTTATGTACACTCAGAAGTTCGACTATATTCAGTGGTGATTACTCTGAAGAAAGTGAACACAGGATTGGAGTCTAAATCATCCAGCACATCTATGCAACCTCTTGTATGCATGGGCATTGGACCTCAACTTTTCTTAAGCTTTACAGTGTGGGCATATTCAAGTCTAGGAGCCTACACGGAAGCAGTGAAGAAAAGGGATCTCTATTGCATCACTCCAATCTCTAATACAGTACTCCAATACCAATTACTCCAATACCAATTTTTATTTATTTAAAATTATATTAATCACATTCATACCCCATCTGTCCTCGAAGCAACTTAGGGTGATGTTCTTTGAGGTTATCCTGTTTTATTCTAATAAACATGCAAAAGAGGTTAGGCTGAAAAAACAGAAACTTTGACCCAGTCCCCCTTAGCTTTAGGGCTGAGTGGAAATTTGAACCCAAATCTCCCCAGGCCAGAGTCCTACAGAAACTCTACCAATTAAACCACAAAAGCTAAACAAACAACAGAAAGTTTTTCCCATGGCCTGGAGGGAAGCATTCAGGCACTGGAATGAAGCTCGTCTTCTCAGTCTGGTCCCCAGCTTGTATGTTGTCCTAACTTTTCCTCCCAGAAAATAACACACACATTTTGCAAGGCCATTGTGTTTAAAAACAAGATAATCGCATCCTAAATAAAAGAAAGTCAAGGGACCAGATGCCCAGGCCAACTTCTTTCAAGGTCTCCTACATTTGTGTGCACACACAACTTTCTTTACCAAGGGCATAAAATACATCTTTGAGCCTGTCTTGCAGTTATGCAAACTTGTGACTATCACAAATGTGACACAGAAAGAAGAACGCACCCAATTTAAGTGCCACCCCCAATACCTTAATATGCCTTTCTGTTTTGGGCATCGATGCATCCTGCAATATAAAAGCAAAACGAATTTTGGCAGGAAATATATGCAAGCAATTTAAAATTTAAACAGACGTACTGCTTTTCTGTTTATCAAAACTGCAGGACAGGCAACATTACTCTTAAAAGCCCTGGCACGTTCATCAGAGAAAAGCGCAAATACAACCTGTGCGTGTCCACCTTTATGCTCAATAAGTCTCAGAAGAAATGCACTGAGGTCAGCATGCAATTCAACAGCCATTTGCACGTCCACTTGCGCTGGAATCCTACGCACACTAACCAGCGGTAAACCCCACGGAGCTCGGTGAGGCTTACTTTGGAGTAAGGGTTCCTAAGACTGCTTCACGAGCAGCGTCGTGCAAAACAGCCCTCGAAAGCGAGACTAGAGGCTTTCTTGAACGTAACTCCGGAGACCCGAAGGGGCCGCAGGACGGGTCGCCCGGGAATCCGCAAGCCAGGCTGGGGGGCCGCGCAGAAACCCACCTCCGCGCCCCAGGGGCGCCACCGAGAAGACGCGCCGCCTGCGCAGCATCTCGCGGCCGGAGAGGAGGAGCAGCAGCGGCGGCGGCAGCAGCAGCGCGGCCGAGTCCGGCGAGCGAGGGATTTATACGCGGAGGGGCGGAGGGAGGGAGGGCGCCGCGACGCCGCCAGGACCTCCCCGGGGCAGCCAGGGACCCCCCCCCCCCGCCTTCGTGCATCTGAAGATGAAGGGAACGGGAGTCCCCCAAAGCCTCTAACCCCCCCCCCCAAAAAAGTGTTGGCCGTCGTTTTATTTTAAAAGCGGCAGCAAAATTTCTTTATTTGCAGAATACCGTAAATATATATACAGTACTGCCAACGTTAAGAAGAAAACAATGGACACCGAAAAAACCAACAAAAAAATAATTATTACTGCATTTGTTAGTCACTTTAAGCGTCAAGGTAAAATGCTAAGAAGCAAAACCAAGTAAAAGCTGATTTAAAAACAAAATGTTCCTAAAACGTTCCACCCTTGTTAAAAGATGAGGACAGCCTTTGCTTTGCTAGCCTTGAAGTTTTCCTGGAAATACTGTATTTATTATTCCCACATCCCCGTTCCCAGGATGGTGAAGTATAAGATACAGTGAGCAACCACAGACATGCCCATTTTACTCATGGAAGGAAATCAGCTTTCTTGTTTTTGTTTGCTCTAAAAATGCGCCTGGAGCAGTCTCTGTCAAGCTGGGCTCGCCATTGGTTTTAGCGCCAACTCCTGTCACCTCCCATCAGCACATCCCCTTGACTTCGGTGTGACATGCTCACAGGTATGGGAGATTGTGGTTTTACAGTGCAATCCGATACATGTCTACACACAAGTAAGCCCCCTTGGGTGCCATGGAATTTACTCCCAAGCAAGTGCAGCACTTCAACTGTATAGAGTAAGTTCCTCTGAACTGAATAGGACTTTTCTGAGTATAGCCCTGTGAAGGCATACCCTGTGAACACCACATCGCATATTTTGACATACCTCCATTCTTCCTGGAAGTGACAAGGATCCTCTCCGACCAATGGCCCATCTAGTCCAACGTTCTGTTCAACGAGGCACTGCTTCTGTTCCCTGTCTTGAAGCTTCAGCATTCAGCTTAACCACATACCTGTAGGTTTTAGTATTATGAGAGAGGGAGAAAACTTCTCTATCCAGTTTCTACATATGATTTTGCAGAGTTTTACTGTGTCATCATTTACCGTACTCGCCTTTTCTCTAAACTAGGAGTCCCCAGATGCTGTAAGCTTTCCTTACTTCCACCCCTTGGATCATTTTCATAGCCCTTTTCTGAACGTTTTCCAACACTACGATATCATTTTTGAAGTAAGGTAACTAGAATGGCAGACAGTCCTCCAAATGTGGTTGCACCATAGATTTATATGATGACATTATGATAACGGAATATTTATTTTCAGTTCCTTTCCTAATGATCCCTAGTGCCTTTCACAGCATCTTCACGAAGCTCTCCACTAGGACCCCAAGATCACATTCCTTGCCAGCCACCTCCAGTTCAGACTCTATGAATGTCTATGTGAAATTAAAAAAAATTGCCCTGATAAGCAGCATTTGACACTTGTTTACATTGAATTGCATTTGCTATTTTACTACCCATTCACTCTGTTTGGAGAAGTTCATCATTGTGAATGGTTCCTATTTCCATAACAATGCATGCAAACCATTTTGCTGATGCCAGTCACTGGGCTTGATTGGATACAGCATCTTTCCTTCTACTCCTCACCCCACCCAGGGTGCTGGGAACTGTAGTTCTGATAGATGTAAACAACATTTACCAGGATTCTTTAGGGCAGGCGTGTCCCAAGGCCGCTTTGGGGGCCTAACCTGGCCCACTGGTCGGTTTAATCCGGCCCCCACAGGCAGTTCCTTCCCATGGTTCAACAATTCTGGGGTAAAATCCTAAAAAAGGGGGGGGTAATCAACTTTGGGGTAAAATCCTTAAAAAAGGTGAACAACTTCAACCCTAAAAAAAGATCAACAACTGTGGGGGGGGGAATGCCCTCATGCATGTTCACTTCATCAAATCTGGCCCTCTTTGAAAAAAGTCTGGACACCCCTGTTAGGGGACGCCCATGCTTTCAACATATGGTGTGGATCTTACCTTAACAGGGCTGCCCTCCTGGAAGCATTTGCCTGGTGCCTCTGCAACCTTGCAAAGGGTTCTAAGGAGCACCTTTTAGACTGCAAGCTGCTTCCTTGTAGGGTAGCTAGCACATGACCAGCCTCCTGCATTTGAGCTGCAGCAATCAGCAGATGATCATGGTTGACTGTGTGCCATTAAACAGTTTCACCTGCTGATTTTTCCACAGCAACTATCCTGTTAAACCCAGACCAGGGAGGACTGGTGTTTTTCTGGCCAGCTAGCAACAGGACTCCTGTCTGTCGCTAAAACTACCATCCCTTGAAATTACTGCATGGGTTGCTTGTGCAGGATTGCAGTTGTTGCTTCTGACCCCTACTCTGTGTAATCCCCTTGATCCTGCTCAGTCTTGGGGCAAGTAGTTATGAGTGTTGGACAAAGAGCAGCAGGAACTGGGTTCAAATCCACACTCAGCATTGAACCTCTCATGTTATTTGATCAACCCAGCCTACCTCACAGGATGTTGAAAGAATAAAGCAGTGGGATTGTGGGAGGGTTCCAGCCCACCCCATAAATCTCTCTAGAGGTTATATATGTGCAAACAAATCTATTTGGAAGCAAAATGCCAATGTGCTGCTTCCCTCCCGTTTCCTCCTTCACAGCCTGCCTGTTGCTGAATAAGTATGAGCTGCCTTTTATGGGGGAGCAGTACAGAGATAAATAAATACACCAGCACAAAATTGCTAGCAGGATCCTGTTCTCCCTTTGCTTTATTCAGACCATGGCTGATGCTGCTAAAAATACCAAGTTGTAGCCCATGCTGGTTCTACTCAAAATATACCCAGTGGAATAATTTAGTTTTTAGGAATAATTTAGTTTAATTCATTTCAATGGATCTAATCTTAGCAGAACCTGTTGCTTTATGGGAAATCAAAGGATCCTCGAAAGGCTTGGTGAAGGCCGAGCCACAGCTGGGGGTTGGGGGGCTGGGTATGTGTACACAAATGCAGATGGGGGGGTGTGCCAAACTGGGTCTCTGACCGAGGTGAAATAAAGCCTAGTTTCACTAGGATCAAAGCAACAAAGCCATTTTTGCTAGCGGGGTTAGCCAGCAGACAGAAGGAGGATGTAGCTGGAGGTGCCTCTCTTCCTCCCTCAGCTTTGATTGCTTTTTAACCAGCAAGCTGAATTGAGGCAAATGCCATTAACCATTTAATTGCTCACAATTTCACTGCAGAGAGATGATCCATTTAAGCACACTATAATTTGACTAAGAGTAAATACAGCCTTTGAGCCAATGTAGGGCTTGCCTTTCATTGGGGATCCCTCCATGCCGCTGTTCCATTTAGGCTGCTGTTTTCCTAAGCTCAGCAAGAGAAATCACAAAAATGAGTGAAATGCAGATCTGTGTGGGCCAAACTCACCCTGGGTGGGGACAGCCTCTTCTTGGGTTCCTTGCAGGATCCTGGCTCCTCGCCCTGAGGCGGAGCCTGACCCAGGGCTTGGAGGACGGCCGAGGGCTCCCCCAGCTGAGGCATCCCCCTTATAATAAGTCCATCCAGTTCAGTGCTGCCAACAGGGACTGGCAGCAGTTCTCTGGTGACAAAGAGCAGCCTTTCCCATCCCTTCCTGGAGAGGCCAGGGATTGAACCTGGGGCCTTCTGCACCCAAGGCATGCAGCGGCATAGCTAGCCGCTCGGATGCCCAGTGTCGCGCACGCATCCTGCAGCTGGGGGGCAGGGTGAGCCGCCCATGGGGGCGGGGGGGGCGCTGCGTGGAGCCTCTTCACTGCCTCCCCTCAGCTATAGGGCAGCTGAGGGAGAGGCGGGGGGCAGACGCAAGCCCCACACTGCCGTTTCAGGCAGCACGGAGCCTGCAGGCACCCAAGCCACCACGTCACTCCCAGGACATGGCACGCTGCAGGCCCCGCGGTAAGTGCCGGCCCCTGCAGTGTGGCGCCCAGTGCCAGGCACGTTTCTTTACAGTTATTGACTGAACTAAAAAGTTTCGTGAGCCCACTTTAAAAAAAAACACACTCACATTTTTGTCATTTTGTCAAATGCGCCCCCCCCCCCCGTGATGACACCCGGGGCAGCCCACACACCCCTTTCTCTGCCACTGAAGGCATGTGCTTCACCACACAGCGATGGGTCTTTTCTACTTGAGTTCAAGTCTTGGCTAAATGCACTTAATGGCCAGTCTGTCTACACCACTGTGCCCTCCTTCTCCTTAGGGAATAATAACATGTAGCATTTATGCAGCAATTTAAACATGTTAACTTGTTGCAATCCCACCTGGTGCCCTCCAGATGTTGCAGGAGGACCACACCTCTGATCACTAGCCACGTAGGCTTGAGTTGTGGAGGCCACCACAGTGGGTATCTCTGCCTTACAACTGTTACCGGAAAAATCCGAGGGCTCCCTTGGACAAAAACAAAGACACCAACCAGGATAACTTGGAGCAAAACAGCAGCCTGTAGGCTTGGCCTTTATTGAACTGTTGCAACAGGGTGTTCCCCTCACTTGCGAGAGAGACGAAAGACCCAGAAAGATGGTGTGCAAGACCTTATAAAAACTTTTGAAATTCCCATCCTCTAGGTCAAGCCCACCCCAAGAAACATCATGCATACATTACAGAAAGGAGGGGTTGAGGGAGGAGTTGTGGTGGTAACCTGAGTGTCCTGTCACCTGGCTGGTTCCTCCTTTCCCCCTCCCCATGAGTCACTTCCAGGAGACAAAGGGAGTTGGCAGTTTCCTGCCCCCAGAGGGAAGATCTGATCATTGTCCTTTGTTTCAGTCCATGCTGAATCCACTCCCATATGCAAGTTCTTTGTGATCTTGATGGTCTTCTGTCTAGGACCATCAGGGTTGGCATAGCAACTGGGCAGGGCTCCTGTGGATGTGCTGGGATGGTGAAGGGATTATGGCTGACCAGAACCAAGCCACCCCCCTTTGATAGTCCTTGTC